ATAGCTGCGGCGTCTAGTATGTTGTCATCATCATTGTGGCTTGCCGACTGTGAAGAAGGCTTGACGTTGAGGGGGGCCGTATCAGCGGAGTTAGTACCACAAGGCGGGAGGACGCATGGGTTGGTATGACATTTGGCGCAGTAGGTTTTTCAGTAGTTTTGTGGTTCCGGTGAGCAGCTGATGGTGGCGGAGGCTGATGATATGTACATCTGTGAAGAGCTGTGGCAGGAGCTGAGCAGTGTACCGGGAGACGCCCGAGACGTGAATAACTATGCCATCCCAGTCTGCTGTGGGTTGCGGACCGTTGATCATTGAAAGGCATCGACTCATTTGTAGGATATTTTTAAATCGCAATAGTAGCTCTCTTCCACGTGTGCCATGCGCAGGGCTGCAAAAACACTCAACATATTGGGTGGCATCTTCTGGAACGGCCCGCGGGCAGCCTTTGGGTCGATTGGGCAGCCTCTGGAGGGGATCAGAAAAAAAAGGTCGTCTGATGTCTCTCCTCGATGCTGCCTTGACTGTACATGCGTACGCAAAGTCGAATCGGAGGTAGTGGTAATGCATAGGGCTAGCAGGGTGACCCCAGAAGTGTTGGGTCGCCTCACTGCTATTAGGCGTTAGTGGGATGTATGTAGGTGTAAGCTGTGCAGCAGAGAGGGAGGAGATGGTGTTTTCTTCATGGCCCTCTGGCAGTGTTGCAGCAGGTCATTGCTGAAATAGTCACCGTCTACCATGGCTCCAAGGCCGGCCGTGATGGCGGCGTCACAGGCGTCAAGGCGTCAGACGGTCGAGGCGAGGGCGTGTCAGCGGGTCGAGGCGTCTGCGAGGGCGGCGTGCACATGGTAGCTGGTTGCGGCCTCATACGGCATGCGGGGCTATGCGACGGAGGCATGGCGCAACGTCCGGTCACTTCTTGAGCCCACTAAAAGAAACTTCTAGCGAATGTGGCAGCGTGCAGGCACCGGTTCGCATGATACCACGGCCGCTCTCCCGCTGTCGCTCCACGGTAATGGTAGGGCTGCCACCGCAACCACGCCCGGTGAGGGCGCTGTTGCACCCCCAAAGCACCCCTGCATGTATGCCTACTACACTACATACTATACAAGCCGCAGTATAGTAGCATGCAGTACATAATTGGCCATGGGGGAATCAGAGCATTTGCGCCCAAGGCCCATGTCTGATTGCATCCTGGTCGAGACCTGCGGACAGTACCCCCATGACGTCAACCGGGTGCTGAGTTCCAGCATCTGGGCAGTCGAGAACCCAACCCTGTCTTCTGACGCGGTCCGCTCTCCATGACACTTGACGTCGTCTGCCTCGCTGCCTCGCTGCCTCGCTGCCTCTCCTGTTCTCCCTCTCTTATTACCCCGCCGGCGTCTGCTATTCCACCACAAGTACCAGCATTGCCCATCTCCCACCGTGTACCTGCGTGGGCTGATCCCCTCCCTCCTTTTTCACCAATCGACCACGACTCGCGATCGACTGGGGGCTGCCTTTCACAGTCACATCAGCAGCGCCTTGTAGCCGCTGGCTGAGTAATAGCCAAGCATCACATTTCCTGGCCGACAGACACTGCCCGCAACAAATACCGTTTTGCGCCCACTTCCGCCTTGACCACAACTTACCCCACCACCCACCCTTCAACCACTTTCCCCCTCCCCCGCCGCACCAATGTCCGTCATCTACAAAAAGACGGAGCGTGAGCGCGAATGGGAGACCGGCTCATCGCGCAATGGCGGTGGTGGCTACACCACGGTCAGGCGCTACAAACTCCCTGATCGCACCCTCGAGGAAGACACATACGAGTCCGAGATGCGGCTGGTCCAGCGCAGCCGCAACGACTTTGACGACCACCGCTCCGTCAAGGACTACGTTATTGAGCGAAGCGTCGAGCCTGTTCGTGAAGTCAGACACTACCACTACGCCGAACGTTCGCCCTCACCACAGCGATCCGAATACCGCATCCACCGCGAGTATGAGCGTGAGTATGAGCGCGCGCCCTCTCCAGCACGCACTGAGATCCGCATCTCGCGGGAATATGAGCGCGACGAGGATATCTTCCCCCGAGAGCAGCCGTACGAGTTGGAAAAGTATTCCAGGTCCACCGAGTATTTCCGCCCTGAACCGCAACCGCAGCCACAGGCCCCTCCCCAGTCCATCTACATCCGCAATGAAGCCGCTCAGCCTATGCAGATGCAGATGCAACCTATTATTATCCGGGAGGAGGCCCCTCAACCCATTATCATTCGTGAACGCGTTCCGGAGCCCGTCTATGAAGAGGAAAGGCCGGTTGTTCGACAGCAACAAGAGCAAGACTACTATTATGAACGTCGATACAAAGAGATTGACCGTGGAAACCGTCACGACGAGGAACAGAACTATTATAGTGATGATGACGTGTATTATTACAAAACGAAGGATACCTGGGGCGGAAGCGAAACTCGCGTCAAACGTGACGTCGCTGCAGGTGCCCTTGCTGGCGTTGCTGCTGGCCAGATGATCAGACATCACCGCAAGAGAAAGGGTGAAGCACCTGGCGGCTCCATTGGTAATGCCCTTGGCTATGGTACGCTAGGTGCCGTGAGTGCCGTAGCTCTCGACAGGTTCAACAACCGTTCCCGCTCTCGTTCTCGATCTGTCTCTCTGGACAGGGGTAGAGAGCACCGACGTCACAAGTCGCGTCACCGCAGCAAATCCCGTCACCGCAGCAAATCCAGGGCCAGAGAGCTTGGTACTCTTGCCGCTCTCGCAGGCGTCGGAGCTCTTGCCTACGCTGCTGGACAAAGGAACAAAGCCAAGACGAAGGAAGAGACGGTTACAATCATAGAAGATCGACACCGCAGCAGGTCTCGTCATAGGAGCAAGTCACGTCATAGGAGGGGCCGAAGAAAGTCGAGGTCCGTCTCGGTGGTATCAGACAGGAGTAGGTCTCGTAGTACGAGCAAACACATGGACCCCGAGCACCGCAACAAGCGAGTAGCAGAAGTTGGCCTAGCTAGTGCTGTTCTCGCCGGCCTTGCTGAACGCCGGCGTAGCAAATCCCGGAAGCGTGAGGGAAAGCGCTCTCCAAGCCGCATTCGACAGGGTGTACCGATCGCTGCCGCCGGTGTTACTGGCGCAGCTATCACTGGACTCTATGAGAAACGTAAGGCTAAGAAGGAAGCTAGGGAAGCATCGCGCTCGAGGTCAAGGTCACGTTCCAGATCGAGGTCAGTCCTCTCCCGTCTTACCGGGCGTAGCCGTAACAGGCGTCAAAGTACAGTGAGTGAACCAGTCTTAGTAGAGTACGGCGGTGATCCGATCTACACCGATCGCCCAGCGAGAAGTCGAAGCCGTAGCCGCAGCCGCAGCCGCAGTCGGGACCGAACCCGCTCGCGCCGTAGACGTCGACGAAGCTCTTCCTCTTCTTCGGGCGGTAAGAGCCGGAGCCGGAGTAAGAGTCGGGCACGGGCGGTTGCAGAGACGGCAGCAGTTGCTGGTGTTGCCGGTTTAGCTGCTCATGAGGCGACAAAGAGACGAGATCGTAAGAAGGCCGAAAAGGAAGCCGAAAGACGACGTGAGTCCACCCTTCGCCCATATCGGAACTAGTTTGCTCAGAAATCAACAGGCGAGGAGGATTCGGCATACTCGACTAGCACCTATGACAGTCCATACGGTAGCCCTACCGCATCCACAGCCTACACCAATGATTCACGCTACTTCCCTGAGACGAACTATTTCCCTCCGCCTCCTAACGCACCCGCCATCGATCCCAACGCTCACAGCCCTTACCCACCCTACAATCCAGCTGACTACCCCCCGCCACCTAATACCGCTTATGAACCCAACCACCCTTCACAATACATCCAGCCGCCTCATAGCGATGTCCATGTTGGAAACCCTTATGCGCCCCCTCAACCACACGATGCTTACTATGGCCAACCCCGTCGTACGGACGGTAATGTGAGTGCTCCAGCCCCTAATCATATCGGTAACGAGCACAAAAACTTCGCTTCTGCACGTGGTGGGTTTGGGACGCTGCCAGCCGGTAGTGCTGAACATCATTGCTGATACATGAATAGGTCCGGTAGAGAAGTCTCGCAGTCCTAGTCCAATTCTTCCAAATCCTCCAGCTCCAGAAGAAGAGAAGAGTGTCAAGTTCAATCTAGAGCCACAGGAGGAGCCCGCTCGGGAACCTTCTCGAGAGCCTTCTCCTGAGGGTGAAGACAGCGATCAGGAACATCGTGGGCACAGGAGACGGAGGCGACATCGAGACGACGATAACTCACAAAGTTCGAGGGAGTCTGGTAGGAGCCGTAAGAGACACCACCGAGACGAATCTCCTGGATCTGATACGTCTGATGCGACGATTGAGCTGCCACCACGCTTCGACGAGAACGGGCGGAAGAGGCCTGAGGATCCACTGGCTGATACTTTGGAGAGCGTTTTGGCTTCGATATTCCGATAGTGTTTTGTTGGCTTCACGTCTTGATACCTTTGTTTGGATACCAGATTTTTATTCTAATGACTGTTACGATGGGCTTTTGGTATGTCTATGATGAAATTTTTAATGATTGTCTATCTTTTGCGTTCGATTAATGGTAACGAAGTCACGATACTTTGTAGATTTATACAACCTTGATATAACTGAAGATAAATAACACTTTTTTTGTATTTGTTAAACTTTCGATATTGTTATTTCTCTACAAGCCAAGGAATTGAAGCCAAGTAGTGATCAGTTTCATGCACAAGCGTCAGGTACACTTTTGTGCAGTCAATTGATTTGTCGTTGATATTCTATGTGTATGTTACTGCCTGTTATGGTGGTGTGAGGTAGCAGGTAGCATTGGTAGCTTCTGGTGCGTGCCTTCCCAAGCAAAGCGTCGTTACTGCTTCGTACAAATATTCCACCTCAACACCTTTGCAAGCCTTGTCTTCCCAACCTCTCACTTTCTTCCCAGATCTTTCCTCGCCTTACAATTCCATCCTTCGCTTGACTCTTGACCCAACCCGCCGCCATGTTCCTACACGACTACTACTGTCTCCTCCTCGCCCTCCTAATGACCCTATGCCTCGCCTCATCCACTCTGTCACCCTTCCCATGTACTGGGTACATCTCCCCCACTCATCCTCCATCATACTTTTACTAACAGCAAACAATGGCTCCATATACTTCACCGCTCACACCATTGACAGCCTACTCTTCCAGAACCCAGATGTCCTTCATGATCTGTTCGTGTTCAAGTGCGTTACTATAGTCGTTTTCAATGCGAATACAGGGGGTGAGGCGGGAAATGAGACGAGGGGGGAAGAGTTGGAGTATGGGTTGGAGAGGGCGTATAGGATTATGTCTAGTGCCTCTTTGAGGGGAGGAGGGGGCAGTGGTGAAGATGGTTTGGAAGGAGCACCCGCAGGTAGAATCACCCCAAAAACTGATTTCCTGACTGATTCTAATTCAGATATTGCAGTTCGCAACACGAAGATTCGACTCGGCAAATATGATGTCGCTACTTCGCCTCTTCTAGGTCTATCCAACGTCCAAATCCTATTTCTTCGTCTACCAGACAGCACGTATTACGGTCAGGGATATAGTGCTTACTGAGAGGAGTCGTTGAAAATGCTATACAGCGCAGACATTTCTCAAATTACAGCCACCGACGCTGCCGCTACGTGTACTGTCAGAGATTTGAAAAACATCATCGCCACGATCCTGAATGAGAGGCGTGCAGACGATATCCACGTACTGAATTACCTGGCGTCTCTCTCGACTGGCCAAGACGACTACCAACTTGAACATGCTGACCGTATCGTATCTGCCAAGCTTGTCATGGATGTTGTCAAGGAGGAGGGTATTGAGACGAGAGTTGTAGCGTAAGTTCTTACTCGAGTTCACTGGGTTGTGCGCTAAAAGTGGTAGACATGGCTGTGACGAAGTTCGCAACCAGGAGGTCAATCTCAACACTCCTGACTACATCAACAAGGTCAATGCCTTTTTCGAATATGCCAAATACGATCCTGACATGGTAAGGCTTACTTGTTATGTGTTATTTGTGTTGCAATACCTATATCGGCTTCATGCTAACATGTAGATAGTGTCAGAGTGTTGACGAGTGTGGCGAGCGGCTCTCAAACGCAGATACGTCAACTGGCGGCTACAATGAGGGCGACTACATATATGAGTTCCTAAAGCGGGAGTACTACGTCACATAATGCTAGCATGCAATTCTGGAGATGAACTGGCATGGTTCAACTTTGGAACATGCTCAAAAACAATAATGTGAATTGATCGTATTATCAGAGTAGAGTATATCTCAGATGTTGGCAAAAGTCAAAGTAGAGATACTAAGCGATGTATACCACAGATGAAATCAAAAATCCCTCGATTGATCCTTTGGAGAGAAAAAAAGTAAATACATGTACAAAAAAGATTATAGGCTAAATCTCTCTCCCCTTACTCATCCTCGTTATTCTTCCACCCCATCTTGCGCTTGGTATCAAACTCATTCTGAGTCATCCTCTTAGCCGGAGGCGTCTGCCCCTTGGAAGGAGACCTCGGCGGCGTAATCGTCGCACCCTCCTCCTCCTCAGGCTCCCACGCCCGTCGCTTCGCCAACATAGCATCGAGCTGCGGGTCCCTGCCATCACGGTTGGGCACTGGGGGAGGTGGTCCCTTACGGGACACACTTGGCTTCCTGAGCGGAAGCGCAGGCCTGGCGTTCTCCATGGCACTAGGAACGGGCTTGATCTGGCCCTTGATTTCACGGACAATGGGCACGTCTGAGACGGGGATAGCGCCACCGAGGCGGACCATGGGGGCGGGTGTGGTGGGTGCGATGGGCTTCGCGGGGGTGATGGGCGTCTCGGGGATGTCCTGGGATTCGTGGACGGGTACTGCTCGGCTTCCCAGGCGGAAACGACCGATTTTTTGGTCGCCGACGGCGGGGAGCGAGTAATTGATCTCTTTGGCTTGGGCCGCTGGCTTGGGAGCGGGAGGTGGTGGTGGGGGTGCGCGAGCAGCGGATTTGTTGACGGGGGATCGGGGGGCGGTGACGGGGAGAGGTGGTGGTGGTGGCGGTGAGGTCGCCTTTCTGGTGGGAGGAGTGGCGGGTGGTGAGGGAGGCGAGGATGACTTTTGAGGGTAGCTTGAGTTGTTGTTATTGTGGCTGCTGTTGTTGTTGTGGTGGTTGTTATTGTAGCTATTGCTGTGGTTGTTGCCGCTGCTGTTACTGCTGCTGTGGTTGTTCATGGTTGTGGTTGTGGTAGTCCGTGATGTGCTTTCAATCCAGGACTCGATACGGCCACCGCCTTGTTCTCGTGATCCTGATGACATCTGTAGAAAAGGTAGCACGTTAGTAAGATGTTCAGAGCACTTGTCGCACTTGTCGCACAAGCGAGGCATGGTTTGAAGTGGAAATTCTTGACTTACCTGATCCTCTTGATAACTCCTCTCCGAGCGTATTAGTCTCGCAGATTCGGCCAGAGCTCGCTGTATTTCCTCCTCTTCTTCCCGTTCTCTCCGTTCAGCTTCTTCTCGTGACTTTGCCATCATGTACTCCATGTCCTTATCCATTTGCAGTTGGATCTGTCGCTCATACTCTTCTTTACTTTTCCTTTCCACTTCCCTAGTACGTTCCTCGGATGCCCATTTTTGCCTCTCGTGTGCCCTTTGAGCCTCTTCGCGGCGTTTCTTCTCAGTAAGTCGCTCCTCTTCTTGTCGATGTCCCCTTTCGAGGACCTCTCGTTCTCCACGGCGCAACTCTTCCTCCCGCTCCTTGGCTTCTCGGCGACGCTGCTCGTCATATTTCTTTTGCTCACGCTCTATCGCCTCTTCCTCCCTCTTGCGAGCTACACTGAGACATCGGTTGCATATGCCTTCACGGTCCCAGGTCTTGATAGTGAATCGGTCTTTGTTGTTCGGGTTGTCGCGGTCACAGTGGAGATTGCTTCTTTGGAAATATGGGCATCCGTATGTGTCGACGTGGTCCTCTTGCGGGTGCCCGCATTCAAGCGTAGCGATTGTGAACCTGCACATGCTTGGTGTATATGGGAATGGGGATGGGGGATGGGCGTGCAAATGTGTACAAGGTGGGATTATTAATGTGCAAGTGCGGTGCTATAAGAGCGCCTTTAAGTAGATGTAGTGGAGAGAGGGATTGGAGGGTCTGCGAATCATCGACGAACGGTACTTATACATGCAAGATGTTGACCGCCATGGGTCTGCTAGTGAAGTGCGGTAAGAGCGATGGCCTTGTACACGTAGTAGCACAATGACTCTGAAACACGCCTCGAGAAAAGTCGCATAGAAATCCTGCAGGCTCGAAGACGCCAAATCAGACACTACTTACAAACATGCGTACAACACATCAAACGGCTAGCATGTCCGCGCACAGCGCCGCGGGTGAGGCGAGCAGAGGCCGATTGGCTATCGGCTGCAGCATCGTTCCACCGGTGACGGATTCAGAGGCATTTACTGTGCGTTGCTTTGCCCACCGAATGTATCCTGAGGACGCTGCAGGCTCGCAAGGCGCACCCAGCGTTTGTAGTGGCAGACCCACTGGGCATCAGACGTGGTAGACCGCCAGAGGCACAATTCATTGGTCTCGCTCGTGCTGGGCAATGAACCGTCCCCGGCCCAAAACAGTCATAGCATCGGAAACTGCCAGCAAAGCCATAGCCCCGCAGCCTGTGAGGACAGCCTGACCAAAGAAAAATGAAGCATCCGACTGTGTGGTGAGCATGAGCAGCATGGTCAGAAGCGACAGTGTCGGTGGAGCTTGCTACGTGGCGGGCTCAGCCGTAGTGGGGATGCATGCCTCGCCACAACAAGGGCAGAGGGCAATGTGAATCAAGCAGCACGGCCTTTAGAGTCGTGGAGACCCGGGGAACACGCGATCGAGCAAAAATGTCGGGCATCAGGAAAACATGAAGCCGATACTGGCAAAGAAGCTGACGATGACAGAGACAGATGCTCGTTCGGGCTGGTACTTGGTGGAGACTCCAGGCACAGCCAATCAGAGCGGGTTGATTGCAATAATCCCTGCACGGCTTGGCACTCTCGACGAGCTTCATCGTTGACGACTTCAATCGACGCCATTGCCTCCCGCCCGCAGTCACAACCCACCATGGCCTCAAGACTGGTACCCTTTGCCTGCCGAATTGTCCCACGCGCTTCGCGACCGTTCCAGAGGGCTCAATGGCGGGCCTTCAGCGTCTCGCGCCCCGCGTGGAATGAGAGCGGCTCGCTCAACGTCGTATGTACTTTTTGCCCGCAACCGCAGCGCTCACAGACAAAACGGGGAGGGAGCTAATTGAATCTTCTGCAGCACCGCGACACGCCCGAGAACAATCCCAAGATTCCCTTCAAATTCACGGCGCAAAATGAGGAGCTCATCAAGGAAATCGTCTCGCGGTACCCCTCGCAATACAAGAAAGCAGCCGTCATGCCGCTCCTCGACCTTGGTCAGCGCCAGCACGGATTCTGCAGCATCAGCGTCATGAACGAGGTTGCACGGATACTCGAGATGCCGCCCATGCGTGTATACGAAGTTGCCACTTTCTACACAATGTATAACCGGGATCCCGTGGGCAAGTACCACGTCCAGGTTTGCACAACTGTGAGTTTTCCTAAGCAGTTTGGGGACATAGAAAGCCCAGAGCATGGCATTGATATATTATTATAGACTCCCTGCATGCTCTGCGACAGCGATGCCGTCATGAAGGCTTGCGAAGACACATTGGGTGTCCACCACGGCGAGACTACGCCAGACGGCCTCTTCACATTTACAGAGGTGGAATGCCTCGGCGCATGTGCGAATGCCCCTATGGTTCAGATCAACGACGATTACTACGAGGACCTTACATACGACTCGACTGTCAAGCTCCTCAAGGCCCTGAAGCACTCCGCCCAAGCGACGGGTGCTCAGTCCGGTGAATTGCCATCGCCAGGTCCATTGAGTGGACGACAGTCGTGCGAGCCCGCCGGTGGCTTGACCTGTCTGACCAGCGAGCCGTGGGGCAATGAGACTCTGAGGAAGGACGGTGCTTTGTAAAAAAGGAAAAGAGAGATTGTAAATAATGTACTATCTTTCTTTCTCGCGAATTTCAGGCAACAGTCTTGGGGTGGTTGATGTTTCCAGCTGCTTCGTGAAGACTATTTCAAATCGTTCAACAGTACGTATGTGGCACTTGGCTGCAATTGAGTGATGCTTGTATCTTGATATTCCCCTCGGCCTTGGCACACTTGACGTAATACTAGTCTTGACAGGTTTGCACAAGTAGTACATCCATGTCCGCACACACGCACACAACAAATTAATGCCAAACCAAACAAACTAGTACCTCTAATAGTCCATAGTATAATGAAATTCTTCTATTCGCAAGCGTATTCCTAACGCACACTTGAGGCTGTTATTTGTTGTACAGGTAGTATGCCATCCCGGCCCCATAATCAGTCGGGACTCGAGATGTGTCTATGTGTAACGTAACCCATAGCCCTCCTCTCCTTGAAGTGCGGTCCATTTTTTAGATGGAGAGAAAATTAAGGAGGAGAACTTCAAAGCAAGTTCGAAGAAAGAGAAAAAGTAGGTACAAGGTGCAGCTTGTAAACGACTCCAGTTAAGAAAAACAAACGCCGTCGCTATATTATCCATCAAGTGAGGGGGTGTTAAAAGTTTTCCCCAAATCAAATCTCCAAGCCGCGCTGGCCCCAATGCAATGCTGTTGGTTTTCTTTTTTGGTGGTTTCCAGAATGTTCGTAATCAGTTCTGCTTATCTTCATTCCCGAAGGTGGGTAGTGGTTCGTTTGGTCGTCAATGTATCGCTGTCTATCCGGAGGGGTGCTTCGCAATGCGACGCTTGCATCATGTTGATGCTTGGAATCGTTTGTTCTTACAAGAAGCCCGAGTTCCATTTGCCCATGAGCAAATCTCGAGTCATTTCGAAGCTGAGCCAGCTGCTCGCCATGCTGGGCGCAACCTTGAGCAGATTAGGGACAATACCCTTATACATGCCCCTGAGCCCTTCTGTCTTGACGATCTGCTTGACAGCATCGCCAACACCTGCGTACTGGTATCCCATGCCACTCATAGTGTTGATCTGGAATCTTCGTCGCAGGACGTCGAACGGGTATGTAATGGTTTGCGCGACAGCACCAGAAACCGCACCGGCTGCCAGCTTACCAAACGCACTGGGGTCTTTCTCGCCATCGCGTGTGAACTGGGTACGGGCCATTTCATAGACCATAAAGTTGAGGCCAACGTATGGTGCAACACCAGCTACCGTAGGGATGATGCCGCGATATAGTGCCGGCATTCCGCCCTCGGTTTTGTACATGTTCACGAGGAGTGCCCACATACCCGGTAATTTCTGGCCGGCCTCTTTCTTGAGGCTTGAGAACGATGCAGACTGAATCGACAACCGCGTGCGGACGATATCGAGCGGATACGTAAAGGTAACAGAGGTAATACCAGCAAGACCTCCACAGAGTAATCGTTGGTAAGCATCGAGCGGTGCACCCGGCTCACTCTCGAAGAACTAGTACGGATTAGCTGTCGTAATTGGGAGGTTGCGCCGGTATTCATTGTCCTTGTGCGACTTTCCCAATTCTCTCCTCTTCGTCCACCACCATACCTACATCAGCCCTCCGCCAACTTACCCTATCCAGTCTCCGCTCCATGTGCGCCTGATCCCCTCATACCACTAGCTTGAAAAGCAAGTCGCTCGCCGGAAAACAAAGCAAATGGCAGAAATTCCAAAAATTCACTTACCCGTTTATAGACGTTGTACGCACTAAATTGCACAGCAGAGTATGGAACAATGCGAATGCAGTTTGTGCCATTTCCGGCCATGAAACCTCTCCAGCCCTCTTCCCTCCACATCTTGGCCAGGGCCTTGGGCACTGACATTTTGTATTCCTCGCGACCGACGCTCTGGACTTGGAACAGGATCTTGAGGCGTTCGAGGGGGGAAACGACGGTCCGGGAGACTGCGCCAGCCACGCCGCCTGCAACAAACGAGGCTAGGACTGGCTGCGCAAAGACCTGTCGAATGCGCTGGAGGCTTGTAATGTCGGGCGTACCGAGAGGCTACATGTACGTGTCAATTAAAGTGTTGAGGGTACGGACTGCGCTGGTACATACTTTTATGCCGTTTCCTGGCTCGTCGCTCATGATGGCGGCCCCCTGTGGTTGCGGCTTTTCCGTGGATTTGGACATGGTGTGAGTCTAAACTGGTCGGAGTATCGCACTGTGGTAGGCGGAGCGAGTCTGGTGCTGCCGGAGTAAAGGCAGGATTCTATCGAAGCAAAGAGAAGGCCGCGCGGCGTGATTTCGAGGTCATCGGAGGTGACTGTTTCGGAGGTGTAGACGGTTTTCTCGCAGTGAGGCGGGCGGATACGGTCAATTCGCGGTGAATCCGATCTTCCATGCAAGGCAGCTAGACGGTGACTGTTTGTACTCCGGGGTGCGCGTGTCTCATGGGTCCTGCGGCGCAAATGAGGTTGCGGTGTTTGAATAGGTTGGATGTGGAGATTTGAGGACAGCGGGAGGACGAGGCAGATTTTAGTCTAGCGCGCCGCGAGCCAGCGAATGTTGTCCGCAACGCCTTTATAAACGACCACGGTACTCGCTGACAGCCCCATCCGGTGCTTCGCGATGTCATACTTGGCTCCGACTGACATATATTGTCCTTTTCCGGTCGCAGCATGTTTGCCGTGTTCCGCTGCCAACGAGCTATAGGTGCAGCGCATGCCTCTCACCGAGTCAATTGAACTCGGATGGCATCAAATTGCCTCATGTCGCACAGTCTTGGGACGTGGAAACCACACACATGCTCCCATCGTAGGCTAGCCAGGGGAGGGCACAAGGGCATTCTAGAAGAATCCGGCCTTTCGCCTCACCACCCCTTACTAGGGCGTCACAGTCAGCTGGGCACCACATCACCCCTTTCAGTCAGCCGCCATCGAAGCCACATATGGTTGTTTGCACGCGTCCTGTCTTGTGTCCTTTTGCTATGCCTGCCCGGCGATGTGAGCCACTGTTGATCCTTGTGCTGCTGAACAGTAGTAGTGGTGGTTTACCCTGTACCCGGAACGCTCCCACTAGTACTCTGGTATGACTACTTATGACGATGTATCAAGGCTTTTGCTCCTAGGGCCACACGACCCAAGACCACGCTGGGAAAGTCTGCTGTGGAGAATACAGGAGATAGCGGGGTAGTACACGCATCGGCCGTGGAAGGGATTCGTCATGGTTTGAATATCCCGAGGTCGACCTGGAGGATGCGATAATATCTCGGGTGGTTGGATGCGAACGGCGCAGCCACAAATCCCCGCTGTCCCCGCTGTGCTTAGAGGGACCAAGATACCTTCTGAACAGAGTTTTTGGTTGCATTCAATCGTACCGCCTCTATTAAACGTCTCTCGATGAATGCGAATCGATCTGGAGCTGGTGTGCTGCGGGATGTTAAGATGGTCGAGGTACCATGCGTATCCGTTATCGATAAGTAGTCGTATGAGATTATCTAGCCCGCAAAGAGCGAAATGTGAAATTCTTCCTCTGCGTCTTTACAATGTTATCGCATCGCCTCTTTCGGCAAATTACTGATAGCTTACTATTGGGTTTTCGTGTCTATCCAGAAGCTACCGTGTGTTTTGCTTCAGCGTGTTTGACGTGTAGCTCTCGTACTCATATTTTTGCACAATCGATACGTCATTCGTCCTCGTCCTCGACCAGATGGAAGTCGCGACAGGGCAGGGACTTTTTTGCCAAGGAAGCACGAGTTCAAGGCCTGAAGAGCCGTGCTGCCTTCAAGCTGCTTGAGGTGGGAGCGCATCACGGTAAAGACCGGGCAGTGACTAATATATCACAGCTCAACGACAAACACAAACTATTTAGACCTGGGCAAACAGTTGTTGACTTGGTAGGCCTGCCCTCGACATTGAGTGATTGAAAGTTAACGTCACCAGGGATATGCACCGGGGTCGTGGTCTCAGGTTTGTTGATGGAATTTCTTTCTTTTAGCATCGTCTCACGCTGGTTAGGTTGCCGTGAATCGCACATCTCCAGACGGGCGGGTTATTGGCATCGATCTCATACCTGCCCAACCTCCTCGAGGTGTTTCGACTATCCAAGGGGATTTCCTATCACCTATTATTCAAGATCAGGTGCGAGCATATGTTCGAGATACAGATCTAGGTAGGCCTAGGAGACAGGTTTCTTCGAGCACAAGCGAAGGACTCACTGAGGAAGAGCTCGATGAAATGCAGCGGGGTTACATTGAGATCGAACGTCAGGCACAGTTGGATGGTGCAGACCCTGAAGCGATTGGACGGCCAATCGAGGACTGGGATGGCGACAAACCAATCTCGACCAATCTGTCGCTCAAAGAGCGCGACATGCAGCGGGGAAGAACAGTAGACGTGGTACTCAGTGATATGTCAGAACCCTGGGACCAGACTACCGGCTTCTACAAAAAGAGCCTTAGTGACCCTTATATTAGGATGATGAACACGAGCGGCAATGCTTTCAGAGACCACACGGGCAGCATGGTCAGTAGTGCTCCTCTGAGCTGCAAACAGACTATTAACTGGGGCAGGATCTGTGCATGGCAGCTCTGATGTTTGCCTTTGACACATTAAAGACCGACGGCCACTTTCTCTGCAAGTACTACAAAGGGGCCGAGGAGAAGGCTTTTGAGATGAAACTCAAGCGACTCTTTGCCAAAGTACATCGGGAAAAGCCCGAGTCGTCACGGGCTGTATGCAACCTTAAGTTATTTGTGTTCAACGCTGATAGCTACAGGAATCCAGAGAGGCGTACTTTGTGGCACTGCGTCGCAAAGAGACACCGACTAAAGAGGACGTCTTCGGCGAATGCTGACTTGGACGGTGCTTGGCTGTTCCAGCGATACTATGTGTATCCATACCTTCGGTCCGAAAGCGTCACATACCAAAGTTCATCAGCCACATGGGTGTATGATAGGCACTGTATAGAGTGTAGAGAAGGCCGGCTCCAGGTTTATCAGACACTCTCTTGTATACAGGATGCGTGATGCGCCAGGGTTCGCCAGGGTTCGCCAGGGAACATAAAACTAGCGCTGGATTCAGGTTGCGTAAATGAAAGATCAAGTCTGCCACCAAGAAGCCCGAGTATGTGATACAAGTGATGCAACGATTACTCGGTCAGTGTCAGCGCGGATCTGGCTGAATGGGCTCTCCATGTCGGAGCCGTGTCCCGTTCCTGGTCCTAGGGAACAGGCACATGGATGGCAGGCAGGAGTTAATATGGAAAGATCTAATAACGGATAGGACCCGGTGCTAACTGCAGTCGGCCATACCTGGTGACTGTTCTGGACGCGTCTCGTCGCATTTCGGACGACATGTCAAGCGTTTTTGTGGGCCTTGTGGACAGGGATGTCAGAGTCTGAGGATGCTCGTGGCGCTGCGTCATGGCGTGCTTGCATTGCTGATCCTGACGGTCGCATACTGGGACCGAAGGGGGGAGGGGGAAGTGTTCTTAGTGTTCTCCTTCTCGAGTGCTTTTGCGGGTGCTGTTCCTTTGCGCGCGCCTCGAGGGAGGTGGCTCGAGGCAACGCTTTGATGTCGGGCCTGACCCGCTCGGCTGGCCCAAGGGCTGGCTTCGAAGGCTTCTAGGGTCGAATCCTAACCTTATCACGAACCGCACTTTCTTCCCATCAACCCACCGATCAATATAATCCGAGCTGTGCGACGTGGCCAATGAGTGCCGGCGATGGATTTCAATAACCCTAATGCGTACGGCGGCCAGTTTGCGAATTCCCCGCAACACGCCCAGTTTGATCCACAGGCGCGCCTCCAGCAGCAACCAAACGCTCCAGGCCAGTATGCCCAGCACGCCCCGTTCGCCGGCATGGGTGGTGCCATGGGAAATAGTGTCATGCCGTCTGGAGCCCCGTATCTCCAGCAGCGAGGTAAGCCAGTGTGGATTGACTGATTGTGCGCGATCTGCCTTTTCACTTTTGGTCTGACACCATGCCACAGCTGCCCTCCAACCACAACCACAGCAGCAACCACAGCAGCAACAACACCAGCTGTCGTCGCCCAGCCCATACTCAAGCGCGCCCTTTGCGCAGCCCATGCCCTCGCCTGCTCATCAGCAACAGTTTGCGCAGAACCGTCAGACTGCCTCGCCCGCAAGCGTCACCGGACAGCCGCCCTTTGCGATCCCCCAGCCCCAGCCCTCGCCTGGCAGCCTGCCGACAAACGGCCACCAGACGCCCATGAATCTCCAGCTACCCATCAAGTCGGAACCGCCTCAGCTGCAGACGCCCGTCAAGGCAGTGCCCCCGTCACCCATGTCGCCCAGCAACCCGGCGCGTAGTCAGGACCGCGTCGCGACACTCCTCGAGATCAACAGCATCCTCATCAAGGAGGTGTGCGATCTGCAGGCACAGGGCAAGGCGGGTCATGTAGGACCCACGCCTGAAGGAAAGCCTGAGGGCGAGAAAGCGCAGCCGTCCAAGGAGTACGTAGAGTATGTACTTCCCTCCCGTTGTTGTCATTACTCATTCTTCGCGTCGCCATAGTCTCGTCTGGCCGCAAAACCAAGCTAACCAAACCTACCTACAGCTATATGCGGCGCCTACAAGCCAACCTAGCTTACCTCGCCCAAAACGCCGAAAAAGTGCCCAAACCAGGCCAACAAATGCAACCAGGACCTGCCATCATGTCGGTTCCGCCCTCGCACGTAGACCTCGCCAAGCTCTACACCAAGCTCCAAGAGCTGTTTCCCGGCTGGAAGGGCCAGTCAGCCCAGATGAAACAATCCCCGGGCCCACAACGCGTCGCTTCGAACCCCGGTCCACAGCAACTTCAACAACAACAGCAACAACAACCGCCGAATAGTGCGGGCTTGCATCAGAATTGGGGACCTGGAGTTATGCAGCAGAGCTTGCAGCTTGCGCAGCAGCAGGCTCAGCAGCAGCAACCGCCGACGTGAGCGTTTTTTTTTGGGTTTTTGCATAGCTGGGGATAGTGTAGGGCGACATGGAGGGGGGAATGGGGAGGGAAAGAGCGAGCGGCCGTTGCATCGCGGGCGTATGGACGGGGCTTGGCTTGGTTTTGTATTATATATACCATTACTACTTTTTTTGTTTTCAACACAGGGGAAAATATGCGTTTCAAAGACGGATATATATATATACATCGGGCAGAGGTGAGGACACCGACAATAACAGTGGACCAGGGGCCTGGTTTTTTGTAGCACTGGTATGGGCGTTTTTTTCTGTTTTCTTTATACTTGTTTGATAAATAAGTAGATTTTTTTCTTTTTTCGGCTTGAAATAAAAAGTTTTAAAAAGTTTTTGAATGCTGTGTAATTTTTTTTGTTGCTTTTTTTTAGAGGGGGGGGGGGGGGGTTAGAGGTAGGTATTTGGAGATGTAAAGACGTTCAATGTAAGAAGAAACAATGGGATACAGGATGCGAAATTGTTTTCAATACTACAAGTTATACATAGGAGATAGTTTGGAAGAAAAAAACCGGTTTGCTCATAAACACGCGTTTTGTTGCAATCGTGTGATGATAAAAATACATCGAGTACAATCTGGGCGCCACTCCATATCGATTCTGACATGAGAACCTTCCTTTCTACGTCCCTCCCCCCTCCAGTCCAAACCCAGAAGGAAACGTTCTCTCCCTGTCGTTTCCCCAGTTAATTCACCTGCTGAAAGTGAGGTACATCTGCATTCATCTTCATTTGTATACACGGACACACATGATCACCCAATGAAGCAAGAAGAACAAGCATGATGTGTAAAAAAAAAGATGATGTAAGTATAAGGCGACGCCATGATATATGTACAAACGCTTTTTTGAGTTACATTTATCCATCACCCGGGATCCCCCCAACCCCATCTCTTGGAAATAAAAAGTATAAGAAGAAGAAGAAAAAAGAAAAAAAAAGGCTAATCAACAAAAGAGAGAAACCTCATCTCTTAAGAAGAACCAGCGTAGACCTTTCCAATGGGAGAAAGGCCGTCGGAAAGGTTAAGCTGGTTCTCGCCGGTGCCAACCATGAACCATGAGTAGCCCTGGACATCATCTGAGGTATCGAGGTAGGCCATGCAGTCCTTGAGGAAGCTAGCGGCTTGCTCCTGGGTGGCGGAACCGGGGTTGAGGCCGAACTCGGTGACCCAGACCTTCTGGCCGTAGGTCTCGGCAGCCTTCTTGACGTGGGCAGTGAAGCGGTCAATGGTCTTGTCGTCGTAGACGTCGTAGAAGTGGATGTTGGTAGCGTCGACCTTGGCGTCGGGGCAGGCGGTGTGGAAGCGCGAGAGCCAGTCGAGTCCGAGAGGAGCCTGGCCGTTGCTGACGGAGGGACCGATGATGGTGACGTCGGGGTGGGCCTCCTTGACAGGGTTCATGTACTCCTTCCATGAGGAGCAGGCAGCTTCGGGGCTGAGGTTGCACTGAGCAGCGATGTCGCACTCGTTGAAACCCATGACGGCCTTGGAGCCCTTCTTGACGGCCTTGTCGACGTTTGCGAGCCATGCCTCGGCGGTTGAGTCGCTGGGCTTGTGCATCATGGGAATGAACATGGTGCCGATATCGTTGTTCTCGGTCTGTGCCCAGTTGTAGCCGAAGCCGTAGCTGCTGCCGAGCGTAGAGCAGAGCTCGGCGTTGTTGTAGGCAAGACCACGCTTGGTGCCAGAGTACATGTTTCCAAGGCCGGGAGTGCCAGTGGGGAAGGCACCACCAGCTGAGCTGCTGGCAGATGGAGTGGCCGAAGCGCTGTAGACAGGAGTCTCAGCAGGCTTAGATGGCGCTGGGGTCTCAGCGGGCTTGGATGGGGCAGGAGCCTCAGGAGTTTCGGCTGGGTACTCAGCGGGCTTTGAAGCAGCTGGAGACTCGGCAGGCTTAGATGGAGCGGGAGCCTCGGGGGTCTCGGCTGGGTACTCAGCTGGGTACTCAGCTGGCTTGGAGGGAGCAGCATACTCGGCGGGCTTGGATGGAGCAGCGTATTCAGCAGGCTTGGAGGGGGAAGCAGCAGCGCCACCTCCGGGAGTGACAGTGACAGTGACCTTCTCCTTGGCAGTTACAGTGACGGTGGCACCGCAGCCGGGAGTAGTAGAGACATCGGCGACGTTGGCCTCGTGGAGTCCAGGGTAAGGAGAGGGCTTGACGTAGACGGTTGTGTACGAGGTCTGGGTGGAGGTCGAAGTCGTGGCCATGGTGGTGGTTGGCTCACCATAGATGGCACTGCCAGTACCAGCGGGAGCAGTGTTGTTGGAGGCACCCCATCCACCAGCAGGGTAGGCAGCGCGGTGGTGGAACTTCTCGTGCTGGAAGTGAGGGACAGCGGCTACAGAGCCAGCCAGAGCCAAAAGGCCGGTAATCTTGATCGAGGAAGACATGTTCGGTAGTTGTCGGTTTTTTGTGGTTGAAAACAAAAGTTGTTTGTTGTTATTTCAGGCGTTTGCACACGTGCTACTTTGAAGGTATCGTTTGAGCAGTTAAAAGCAGATGCGGCTAACCTGAGCGCAAACAAGGGATTGTTGACGTCGAGCAAGGAACGTGACTGTCAAGTGGGGGGCAAGAGAATGTACAGAGCAAAAGATTGCTCAAAAGGAATGGCAGGCAACAACCGAGTTTGTGCGAGCGAAGGAGTGAGGGTGAAGGAGGGGGAAAAAGTTGGGGGGTGCGGGTGGTTTTCACCTTATATTCGAGCGGGGGGCCAGATGGGGACGCTCGATAGTCGCGTAGGAATGCCCCCCGCCTAGTCTGCGCGGATTCGGAAGCATCAGACTTTTCTGGTCAAGCACATGTGCCAGGGGGTAAGGTGGAAATAGGGTGCTTCAGCCAGTCACAGCACAGGAACAGCGTGAACGGCTAAGATGGTGGCTTACGTTCGCAAGCTAGCAAGCAGAGCTGGCGTGTTTCACGTAACCGCCACTCTCAGGTACACCCGCTCCCCATGGCAAAACAGGGGGCCGAAAGAAGATGGTGTTTTCGTATACAGGGTTTTTGGGAGCAGCAGGCCTTGTCTGCATGCCGCAGCAGGGGGGGGGGGGTGGCTGTGAGTCTACCATCCATAGTCTCAGGGCGCACAAAAACAGCGGATGCGGTGCGCTGACCGTGTGAGTCTGACTGCTTGCATGCGGGTTGAGGCATGTCGTCAAGCGGGCGTGTGTTTGCTCCACTCCAAGGGCAGGGTTGTGAGTGTGAATCCTTCAGCCTCCTGGCCCCGGCGAGCTGTTAGGGGCGGGGCCGCTCAGCGGCGGCGTGGAGTGATCGACTATTCTAGACACTGGCTTTCATCTCCGGACGTGTTGACGGCTCTGGGTGTTTGACCATCTTGAATCAGAGATGACGAGTCGCGTCGGGCTGCTGGAGAGTGAATCTGGGGCCGGGTGCGAAGAGAGCAAGGCGGGCGGTGGCTGGACAGTGCGGCAGAGAGGCGTAGTACAAGAGTGTTGGTGACGAGGCGGGCTGGAGGAGCGAGTCAGGTTGGTTGGTAGGACTAGTAAAGATAGGCTGGGCATGTAACACTGCAATCGGCCGGCCTGTCCCTTTGTCGTGCGTGCACATGGTGTGTTGCGTCGTCGAGTTTGTATCGCTCGAGAAAACAGGCAAGAAGAGACGAGACGAGACGAGACGAGATGAAATCAGATGAGATGACATAGTAAAAAACTACTAACGTTGCCATGCACGACATTTGCTCTTGTTGCTTGTTCCTAGAATACCAGCCAGCGCCGACACCTTGGCCACCCTGCCCTGTCCATATCAACGTGCCATTATTCCCTACACACGTCTGCGCCGACGTCATCATGCCTTCGACCCGCGCAGTTCAAAATCTCTGTCCTCATTGTTGCACCCAAGTTTTGCGCTCGAGAACTTTCCCCCCAGTTTTCAGGTTTTTCCTTGTTCCCGTCTGGAGAAGGGCTTATTCGTCATGCTTGCCGTGCTATCGATAAGCTGCAAGTTCCTGCATAAGCGCCCCAACATGCTGCGCTGTCGCTGCAAGCCCCCAGGTGCCGGGCGTGCGTATTATTGCATCTCGATTGATATTAAACTGACGGCCTGATGAGGCCTTCTCTTTCATTTTCTGGTACGTATTCAACAATTACATGAGAAAGGCGGCCAAGCGGCCAAGAGCAACGTTAGTAGTAGCTTCCCGGCCAGCGCCGAGCCACGTAATTGGCTCCACTTTTGCAGTCTTTACTTTGGGCGTTCTAGACAAAGCCGAACTCAAGACGATGCCACACCCTTCCCAACGCCTCCGCCGCGTGTCGACGTAACTCTGTCACCCTTACCATCTCCCGAAACAACGACGGCGCCCAAATGTCGCAACCATGTCCACCCTGCCTTTCCCGCCCTTAAACTTTGGCAATAGCGTCACATCGCCTTGTCCACCACCAAAAGCTTGTTTCTCCTTCCAGTCAAGGGCCCCCAAGCTCTCAATCCGTCCAACGCCGTGCTTGGGTTTCCTTGGCAATTGCGCTGCTCAGGGGACCTCCTTGGCAACTTGGCTCTTTGCTTGACTCGAGAGTCGATAATTAGTATAGTAGTAGAAGAGCGTCGAGACTGACGTCTGTGTGTATGTGTGAAGGGGGTGAAAAGAGAGTTTGATGCCAAATTCTCAAATAGCCATACTTTCTTCTACCTCCTAACATTTGCATTCTCCAACAAATACAGTATCAAGACAAAAATAGTACTCTTCTAGTAGGTGACCGTGGGAGTGGTAACTCGTAACCCTATACACGTATCTCACAAGAAAACACTGTTTTGGTTGTTTGTCGGTGTGCCTTTACAGTTGTCGCTGGGATACTCCGACCTCTAATCCAACATAGCTCTCTCTCTCTCTCTCTCTCTCTCTCTCTCTCCTCTTCCTTCCGCAACTCCCGAGAACACTATTCAACACACTCATCGAACACAACTCCTCCCCTCCTTCCGTATTCTTCCTTCCCCCTCACACCCACAATCGCTTCCCAGATCCTGCACTACCAAGCACCCGTCTTTGCACCATGAATGCCGGCTCTTAGGCCGGCACGTCAATTTTCCCTCCACATCGCAGGCTAGAAAATTGTCTGCTTTTCTTCTTTGTGCGGGCTGGAGCGTGCATCTTGAGTAATGTGGGTGTAAGGGAGTGCTACGGGTGGGTGTGGCGGTTAATAGGGTCGTAATAGTTAGTAAGGCGACGAGGAGGGTGGTAAGGCAGTGATACACGATAAACAATTTCTTCCTTGAGGAAACGTGTGCGTTCAGTAAGTAGAGGGTAGATGGGTAACTTCGATATTGCAAAAAAAAACTCTATCATATATCACTCGTTTATATATTGACACAAGAACCACATCACACTCCATAGCTCACGAACGCCAAACACCTCATGACTACCACGTAACCAACTTCTCTTCACAGTTCCTACACTCGTAAACACTGCCCATTCAAATCCGTATCTCCGCCGCTTTCCTCAACCGATTCATAACCGCAGCAGCTATATCATCCCCAGAGTTATCATCAATACCCTCAACATATATAATCTCCACACCCTTCTTGTCCAGATCCCGCAGTGCAGAAAAGAGACCTCGCGCAATGTCTTCCGTGTTCGCACCTAGATTGATGTCCCAGACGTGTATGGCTTCAGGTGATACAATATAATGGTCAGACTCGGGGATTTGGTGCTGGATGACTGATCGGAGGAGATTGGACTGGCGTGGCGAAGACATATCGGTGCTTACAGGAGCTTCGGTTTGCGGTGTAGAGCAACTCCATCCGTTTGAATTTGCCAACTGCACTTTTTCAGCACTCAAGCCCAGTGCGAGTTTCCAGTTCTTTGTCCTAACAATGCCAATCCGGCTCTTGCTTTTCAACTCTTCAGGCGTAGGCTGCTCTGCGCCTACCTCAAAGAGAAGGACAGACGCTTTGGGGCTGTAGTGTCGGTACTTCATTCCTGGCGCTCGGGGTTTACTCGAGTCTTCTGCCTGCTTGTCCTTGTATCCTACCACTACATTCTCCCACCCAGGGCATTGCCGCAGTTGTTCTACTGTTACACCGCCTGGTCGTAATATCGCTGGTGGACTGGATAGCCCGTCTACGACTGTACTTTCGACACCCACTTCGCATGGCCCACCGTCAATTATCCGTGTTATCTTTCCGTTTAGGTCGTCGTAAACGTGCTCGGCGGCTGTGGGGGATGGACGGGTCGATGCGTTCGCAGAGGGTGCAGCAAGAGGTCGTCCACATAGTCGCAAGAGAGACAAGGCAATCATGGAGCGTGGCATTCGTGCGCCAAATGTTGAAAGACCGGCCGTGACTTCTGGCGCGAGGATCGAAGTCTCTGGAATCGGAAGGATGAGGGTGAGAGGGCCAGGCCAGAACCGCTCAATCAATGGTCTGTAGATCTCTGGTATGGGGTCCTTGCCATTGATCTTCCCATCGCCTGTGACTTCGAGCTTCCCTGACAACAGTGCGCGAAGTTGTGGTAAAGAGTGTACGTGAACAATCAGTGGATTATCCGCCGGTCGCCCCTTGCGAGCAAAGATTTCTTTTACAGCCGCACTTCTTGTCGCATCTGCTCCCAAGCCATATACTGTCTCGGTAGGAAATGCGACGGGTACATCCGTCTCCACCAGATCGCGAGCCGCTGCTTTGAGATTACCGAAATGATCATCAGCACTCGCTGACTCGTCATATTCAATATGCCAGTCGTCGATCAAGTCTTCCGTCTTTTTGAACGAAATCTTCCCTAGCTTTTGGGGATCCACCGGCTGGATCTTGGTCTCAGACATGGTTGCAATGAACTGCTTGTGCGTCGGCGGGGCGTTGGTAGTATTGCGCCTGGCGAATTTAAATGTTTTTGAGAATGCGACGGCCTTTCTCAGCGCAGTATATGTGTTATAATGGGGCGATCGTATAGCGACTTGCGCCAGACGACGTATTGGAGTGAAATAAGAGAAGAGTTTCTTGGCCTTGACATTTGGTGTGTGGGGAGTGCGCGTGGGCATAAAGGTGATGACTGGAGAGCGATACCAAAATTTCTCGGAACGCAGTGGGGGCATCAGTTCCGATCCTGGCGCGTGATGTCACAAACTTGAGCCAAAGACCAATTTCAACCTTAGTTTTGGTTCTCATATCGCTTATCATATATACATTTGAAGTACTAGTTCTAATTCTTAAAAATATTCATACATTACGTTCCAGACATGTTCAATGCTTCTTCCCAGCAATCCCATCAAGCCTCATCCGTATAGTAGTAGACCTTGCCTTCGAATATACGCCGGGCTGTCCGAGAAACAACACACCTATCAACATACGCGAATGATTCTGAGCTTGTACACAAAGCATCGACACTGATTTGTCCACTCGGGTGAGCAAGAGTGACTGTCTGTTGTTTCGGCAGTAGATCGGACGAGCTCTCGTCCGAATCTGAGCATGGGCTTGGTGTACGCTCGGGCGTTGATTGCCACGAAGACTGTATTCCAGCATCCTCTGCGAGTTCGTGTGCAATTGTTCCTTGGATGCATACCGCTGATGCTAGGCATGCCGCGCCTGTAAGCTGCAGACTCGGGTGAGGCTTTCCCATGCTGAATGCCTGGACATGAACGTCTGGAGTTCTGGATAAACCACCTGATTGAGGAGACGATAGGATGGCCAACTTTGGCGTACCTCGAACCTTTGCCGCTGCAGCTACATTCGGAGCAAGGCCCATCATCACAGCACCAACACGCCGAATAGACTCCATTTGCTCGAGATAGCTTGCTGAGCCTTTGCTTCCCGTCTTGAGATTTGGCGGTAGTGTCCTTTCGTCCACGAGAATAAAGGGATTGGCGGCATCAATCAAAGTTGCCTTGACCGAAAACCGGTGGCCATCATTCCCCTTGACATCGATGGTGTCGCAGCGATTGCCAGTAGGGAATAGTTTTCCAGTCATACTGCCCGCAGGCTCGACAAAAGCAACTTTTACTTCGCTACCAGTTCCCTTGACTCCCGGAATCGCGTAGTCACCAGACTCCTCATAGGATCCGTCTTCGTCGACTTGAATAGTGTCAACAATGATCCGTGATGTGTTTGTGTTAAATATCCGGACATCAAGCTAGATTGCGAATCAGCATCGAGCCTTGGATCCTAGATCGATTGACTTACAGTTCGCTCCCCGGGACTAGCACGAACCAAACCTTCTTGAAGAGCAAATGGTCCAACGCCTGAGCACATGTTTCCACAGTTGCCGCTAAAATCTACTGTTTCTTGTCCTACAGCGACCTGTACAAACGTATAATCCACATCAACGCCCACTCTTGTTGATGGTGATACAACAGCAACCTTTGATGTCGTCGATGTCGCCCCGCCTACACCATCAATCTGCCGAGCATCTGAACCTTGCGAGCCCATAGCCGCGAGTAGAGGCTTTACCCAGTCCTTCTCTGAAGCTGGCAAGTCATGGCGGTGGATGAATAGACCCTTGGAGGTACCCGCACGCATCAGAACAGCGGGTAAGCTGCGTCGGACCCTTTTCGGAGCTCTTTCATACGCCATTGGAATATCTGGCAAGCGTATGGGTAAAATGTGAGATACAGTCGAGAGTCTTGCTTTTTGAGTACTTGATAATGTAGAGAGTGATCGAAACATCTACACTAACTGTATGCCAAGACGTAAGTAAATGTCTCCGTCGGTATAAAATCAGAGAATTGTATATCCAGTAGTCTTAAAAGAGGGTACATCCCATATATAACTATGGAATCCACCAGGAAGATTATGATGACCATTGATGGGTATGATACTTCTCATCCCTGCACCGACTCCCGCGGGAGGCTTTGATGTGAGGTAAAGCCGCGGGAAGAAAAGGCCGAAGTTTTTCCGCGGCCTCGAAACACTGCGGCTCAAGGGAACGCAGCAAGCCTTTGCTAAAAAAAATCTAGCCAACTGACATCCTACTTACATATCCCAATCCAAGTTCGGAAATCGGTCCAATTCCGAGCTGTTAAAGCCATAAAGGAGATCGTCCACAGTAAAGGTGTTTTCGCCGAATAACGGTTGCTGGCCTTGAAGCATCCAGCTGCCGTTATTATCGTATGCAATATTGCTGCCGTCATTTTGTCCATTGTAGGATGTCGCCGCTGGCATTCCAGTCATGGAATTTGACCACTGTGATTGTACAGGTAGATTTGCATGTGGAAGATTAGCATTGCCAGTTGCATTTGTTTGCACCGGCAGAGCGTTTTCTTGTTCTCGCTCTCTAACAAAGCTTTGGATAATACCATCGATATCGATGCTTTTCAAGCTAGGCTCGCGGCCTACGGAGCTACCAGCTGTTGTATCTAGGGTACTGCTCTGACCTCTGTTGTCAGTATCCCTGTCAAGTAGAGCATCGTTCGGATTCAACGTAGCAACTCCCATTCTCTTCATCAAATTTTGTACAATCGCATTGGCGCGTCGCACAGCCCAATTCGTTTCTTGATTCTCGCGAAACACTGCCAGGCAGGTCTCGAGGTTCCTATGAGCAGGAGACCTGGGTCCACGTCTAGCGGCAATGCGAGCGTGGATAGTCGCAGCAACGTAAGTAGCATACGAAATCAGGTATGGAGCTCTTCGCACACTAAAAGCTTTGTGATATACTCGTAGGAGCTTTACAATATCATCTGCCGATGTTGCACAAGCCATGAAAGAATTTACAGAAATTGCACGTGAAGTGTTGTAGAGATGCCCGTCGGCAACGAATGGGCGATGCAAAAGGATCGTGAGAACGTTGTAAAGGGCACTGTAGCTTCCTGAGTACACTGAAATGGTTTTCTAAGATCTTGAATACTTACTGTAAGCTGAGTACGTGTGGCGGTGGCGTCACAGAAACCTTGTGTGCGTCTATAGCAAGATGCTCGGGTAAGTTTTGTCGCCATGTCGTTAGCTTTGAATGGATACTTTCTAGCCTAGACGAAAGCTCTGCAGGGCTTGAGTCGGAGCTTCTCTCGGTATATATTGTGCTGAGGATGTCACTCAGAATGACTGAGAGCTGGCAAAGATGTCGAAATGTGGAAACGCTATATGCCGGGGAGCCCAGGTAAGTCGCATCTGACTGCGTAGAGTATGCAAAGGGTGTCCAATGCTCGAGTTCTTCATACGTATCTTGGAACTTGATCGGGACAAGAGTGTCTGACTCCTTGATGCTGACGGGTCGGCCCTGATACAAGCTTTGGATTTTGTCGATGACTGTACTTCCGATTAGCGATATTATTCTTCGTGCACTGATGATGTTTACCAAATGCAGCCCAGAAGACGCGTCTCCGGATTTCGTAGTCTTCGTCAGACAATCGGCGACTGCCTGCAAGGTGTGGGGTATCCACGTGAATACCAAGATCAACTATCATACGAAATGCCAGGCCTGCATAAATCCATGCAGCGCTGCGTTCATCCCCTAGGGCGAAGAGTGAGTTGGTCATGACTAGCATGGCTTGGATCGTTGTGATTTCGCTTCTGTCCAGAGAGCCGCCTAGAAGCTCACGTACTCTTTCACGAAACTGCCAGCCAGCAGTGCGTACGTCATCCGCTACTCGGCGAACTTCGTGGCGTGGGCTGAACTTGGCCGCACCAAAGTAGATAGCATTCAGAAGGAGTTTGGAAAAATAGGGCCCACCACAAGCCATGTCACGCATAAAGGCTGGGCGATAGGTTGCAAGAAATGAGTGATGTTGTCGGTTCCAGTGTAAGGATAGCAGGTGCATCCCCAGCTCAGGCTCAACACCATCAAAGTCGAGTTTCCCCTGGCGGAAGTTTACAGTCTCCAGTTGGCGCTGGCGCGCAGCTTCAGCAACAAGTCCTCTTTCAACCCATTCATCAGGCATCTCCGGATGCGCCTCAGAAGCGGGCTTTTCATGGGGACCTTCATCGAACAAGGTGCTTGTCCTCCCATGATAGCTGGAAGAGCCATTCGCAGTGATAACAATGCGTGACACACTCTGTGGTGTCGAAGAACCAGCTTGGGCAGGAGATTGCGTAGCAGGACTAGGTGCATCTACAGGCGCAACCGACTCTGAAGCTCTTTCTCGTCGTGGCGTCTTACGTGGACGACTCGATGGTTGATGGGTATCGTCTATGGGCTCATAATGGCAAGTTACCCCATGCGTTTTGCAACTCGCGCACACAGGTTTCTCAGCACTGCACTTAATCTGTGGACTTCAGTATCGCGCTCCACGTTCCATTAAGCGCGAACAGACAAACCTTTCTCCGACGGCAGAAGGTACAAGCCTCGGCTGCCCTTTTGCGTGGACGGCCCGTCTTAGTACCGTTGCCGCCTGTATCGGCAGTGCTCATCGCGATGGCCGTCCAACTAAAGTAGTTTACGGGTACCTGTGGGTATAATTCAAAAACAAGAAAGCGTGTTTGCTGCCAATGGGGAGAGGACGGGAGAAGAAAAGTTGCCGCGGGTATGGAAGAGACTGGGGCAAAGCAGGTTCCGCGGGAACGCATTAATTCCAATCCGGCAATCCGGGACTTGGTCACCCGACCGTGAGCCTGGGCCTCGCGGCGTTCTATACTTAGCAGAATCACCACAGTACACAAACACTGAATGTTTTACTTAGTATACGAGTAGCATATCATTCAAGAAAGCTGAAGTATCCAATGTCGAAGTAATACGAAGTACATTGATTTTCCAAGTCCGATACAAATATCTTACTAGGCATCATATAAGAAGATAAAGCCAAGTTTTCCCTATAACACAATAGGCCTCCTCCCAAACACCAACGCCAATACACCCACCCCACCAAGAAAAGCCGTAGTTCAACGTTGCAAGCAGCAGAGGGGAAAGTCATAAGAAAAGAAAGGGTATTCAGCCAACGCCTACCAGATGAGAACAAAGCCCTCATTTACCCCTAGTCTTCCCAAGAAAGTTGATATCTTTTGTTCGTTCTCCCTACGCCGAGACAGAAACTTCAGACGGCCCTTGGAAAATGGCCTCAGCAGGGGCATCAGAGTCTCCCGTAGGCGCAACTTGGGCTTGAGAAGCCAGTTCGCCGCTTGCACCAGTCTCAGCCCATTCACCCCAGAGGCCACGCTTGGCACGAATACGTAGCGGAGCACCAAGGTTGTTAGCTGGTTGTTCGACCTTGATGGCATCTTTGGTTGCCAGGACGAGCATTTCAAAGAACATCTTGGTGGCGTCGGTCCGTGATGTCCTGGTTTCTGGGAAAATGTCTTGGAAGATGATGCTGCTCTTTTGTCGAACTGATTCGCTCTCCTCGGCTTCGGGCCCAAATTGCTCTCGTAAGAAGTGAACGGCGTGTTTTGTGCCTAGTGATACAGGTCCACCTTCGGCGGGATGGATAAGAGGTACGGTTGTGTCATCAAAGTTGTCGGGGACTGGGGAAAAGACATCTTCTTCCTCTTCACCGATCTGCTGGAAATCTGGTTCATCGGGGAGTTGGATAATGTCCTCGGACCCTCCTAGCATGGTGTTGTCACCGCCAATACCAATATCACCACCCCCTAGAGTTGGCTCGTCTTGCTCAAATTCTAGTTGTAGTTGTGGCGTCTTCTCTCTTTCAGCTGCTGTTGCTTCGTCGTCCTCGGCGTCCGCTCCAATATTGACGCCATCTCGCTTGCGTTTCTGGCTTGGTCGGGAAATTACTTCCAAAGAAAGGATACCGCGTAATTCGGGAGCCCAACCCTGACTTCGTCCATCGCCAAGAATGCTTGATACAAAGCCTCCAGACTTTTGCATGTTGAGCAAAGCCATAAGGAGGGGATCGCGTGGAAGGAAAGACGCAGGCTTGAGAATCTTCTCACGGTTGTTCTGTTGCTCCTTCAGTTGCTGGCTAGAAATCATTGTCTCTGCGTCGGCTCCAATGACCCTCCTGCGCTTGGCTCTGGCTTGGTGAATGGACTCCTCCTCTTCATCCTGCTCTGGCTCAAAGGTGGTGGTTTGCTCGGCGATTTCCTGTTCAAGGCGAGTAGCCTCTTCCTCTCCTAGCTCGGAGAGTGGTGATTCCTCACGCTGGCGCGTAGGCAAATCGCCTGCTATTGAACCCGCTGGGAGATCTGTTTCGTTCATTCCGCCCATGGTGATATCCATATCGTCCTCGAGATTCAGCTCTAGGCCAGGGCCAAGTTCTGTAGGAGCATCTTCACCAATATCTATGCCAAGGCCATCATCGTCGTCTAGCGTAAGGCCCTTGTCTAGCGCAGTAAATTCATCAGATTGACGGCGTTCGAGGGGCGCGTTACGGCCTATCTCGATACTTGTGCCTTCGTCGAACGGCGCCGAGGGCTCCAAGTCGTCATCTTCTCCAATATCCAAGTTCAGGTCATCGTCGGGAAGTTCCATTGGTTCCATACGTGGGTGCTCAATGCTGCCAGAGAGGAATTGGCTGTTATCCCAATCCGGTACAGTAGTGTTTCCAAGATTGAGACTACCACTAAGCGGCTGTGAAAGAAGAAAAGAGGGATCTGGCATAGGAGCCAGCAGGTCCAGGTCGGTAATTTGATCTGGTAGAATCAAGTTGGTAGGGTTGGCAACGTGAGTCTGCGCAGGAAGATCAATGTTTCCAGGGCGGAAGGCCTGTAAACGCGTTAGTTGTGGCAATGTCGGGTAGTTAGAATCAGACTTACCATCTTGATCTTCCACAAAGCTTCATTGCAGTCATCCTGCAGGTAGTGGGCTTTCTTGTGGTAGATGCGAACTTCACCAAGAAGTAGCTGCGCGTTCAAACGCAACGCAAGTGGGCCGCCAGCAGCCACCTCTGGTCGAATGATGACTTCGCAACTCTCGGGGATCTTGTGCTGCAGCACTTGAGCTTTGGTGAGCTTCTTCTGCTGATTGGAGGCGAGCCAGACGTGCGCAAGCGCGCCTTGCTTGAAGAGAAGATCCTCGGGAAGAAACATGGTGGTGGCGGGATGGAGGAGCTCGTGGGTGGGGTGAGGAAGAGCTGCGCGTCGAGTCGGTCGTCGTGTTTATGTCGACGCGTCGCAGGTCACAGGATGCGCACGCGGTAGAGACGCGCCAGTGACCTCAATAGTATATGCCAAAAGTGCGCGCACACGTAGGGATGGCAGTCAAGGCAAGAGAGGGTTGGGCGACGATGGTGTTGCGGATGCGCTCGGTGGTTGAATGATGATGATGATGAGGCTGGTAAGGGCTGGGATCAGGGCAGGGCGTGGCAGCCACGATCCCACAGCTCCCGCTTAGTCATGACTCTGAACCAGAAAACACCAAAAGTACCTTCACCTTTGGTTCCAGAAACCCCATTGACAGACATAGTAGCATCATCATGTGATGAGGGAGCACACCCAGCCACCTCATTCTATTTTTGCGGGGCTGATATTTTCTCGTTGCTGCCATCCAAGCTTGTATTAGGAAAGAATGGCGAGTCTCCAATTCCGGTTGATGAATGATCCGGCGTGGATATTCAAAAGACAGGATTTTTAACAATACTCCCTCTTGGCTTTACGTCTTGCAAATCAAATCAATCTCTAGCTGTTACTTTTGCAATATTCCGATGAGGTTCTTGTGCGACTCGGCAGTTGCTTCATCAATGCCCAGCCAATGTAGGGATATTGCACCAATGAACCCGATCGCGTCTTATTGGCCTTGACATACGAATGTTACCAAGGGAGCGGTATTTTCCAAGAGTTTCAACAGTCTGCTCCGTTAGAATATCGTGTTGGGCCAGTTTGAGGAACGGTAGTTAGATATACATGCATCAGCAAAATACTAATATACCTGCACCTACGACGCCCACTTGATTGTACACCATTGCCAAACGAGTGCATTTCCTTGCATCTTTATCCAGCATGCTTTGGTATCCTTCTATAATTTTTATGCTTCTGGCACAATATGTCTCAGCCCAGGAGACGCCCTACGGGTCATCCGACTTTCTACGGTTTGGGTGTTCGCAGCTTGTGGTTGAGCGTACTGATCCACTCGTCACCCCTGGGCTCAACCCATCACCGCATATGCACCAAGCAAGTCTACTTGTCATTTCCGAACCAAGGGGGCTAATTTGTATAGATTGTAGGAGGAAACAGTTTCAATGTCACAGTATAGCATCGCCAACTCTTTCTTGATATACTTAAGGGGCTAACATAATCAGATGGATCCTTCTTCCTTTGATCCAGCCGCGCAGTCGACCTGCACTTCGTGCATTTACAAGTTAGCAAAGCCATTCTATAATCTTGACGGCTCACTTAAATAGCTACAGAGAGGACAGATCAAATTATTGGACTGCCTCCGTTTACTTCAAGTCGCCAGAAAATGGTACATATCGTAAAGTACCACAAATGGCAAATGGCCGTCGAAACGGAACTCTCCTTGAGCAGGATGGCGGTCTCACCATATACTACATGCGTCCATTTAGTGGTACGAACAAGAACACCACTGCGATGATACCTGTGAGTCTGGATTGACCATCACTTCTGTGATGCCTCCTCACTGGTTCGCAGGGCTTCCGCATGTTGGCTGGCGATCCCACCAACCGCAGCAAAGAGGGTACTTACCCAGGCATCTGTCATCGTTGTCTGCAGGTTGACGAGCGTATCATGGGCGGAGCCGGTGCACCCTGTTCAGGTAACGACACTGCCAGTTTTCCGTCTACGCCATGTCCAGGGGGGATCCGTGCTACTGTGATCTTTCCTTCGTGCTGGGATGGCGTTACTCTTGACTCGCCAGACCATAGATCGCATGTTGCTTATGCGCCAGGCTTTAATGGTCTTGCGGGCGACTTTTGTCCAAGCAGTCATCCAGTTCGGATCCCACAGGTCATGTACGAGATCATGTTCGACACGTCTGGGTTTGCAGATCCTAAATATTACCAAGATGGTAAACAGCCATTAGTGTATAGCTTTGGAGATGCGTAAGTCAAGAAACCCGCAATGAAGTACTGAGGATTGTGTTAATACAGATAGGACTGGGTATGGTGCGCATGGCGACTACATGTTTGGTTGGGAGGGGGATGCGTTGCAGAGGGGGATGAATGCTCTTGGTAACCAGTGTGGGAGCGAGGACTGCACCTCTACATTCACAATTCAGGATGGCAGAGATGCGATTGCATGTACAAAGGCACAACAGGCTGTCGAAGATACTGGGACAGATGCATGGCTTGATGAGCTCCCTGGTGGAGTACAGATTACAGAATAGTGCGTGGCGGTGGGGTGGCAGCGAGTGGGGCCGATATGCGGTATGTACTGTACTGGATACATATGTATGTAGACGGTGGGTAGAGTTAGAGAGATTGTCTCAGTATCCTTCACCCCAAGCATCCTGTCTTAGCCACAGCAGCGATATTCGAGGCGCAGGCATGACATCACCCGCAAGCAGCCGCGCCACGACGAGAGCATGTGTAGTAGCGTCGGACATGTGCCTGCCAAGCCCCAATGCCGATGTGCACAGATTCCCTTCCCCTGTAGTGGATCGAGCATGTTTATCTATTGCGGGTTGGCGCTCCAAACCCAAGATCAGTTCTCTCTGTTTCAGCTCCCGATAAGGTCGTCGCACGGTGGTCGATGTGTTGCCTCGAACTGTTTATGGGGTGAAACGGGGATGGCCAGGACCCTTGACCCCTGCACGAGGGTACCGATGCTTTGACGTTCTAGTCGACCGTCTAATCCACCAGACGAACTGCGAGCCCTGAAAAGACAATCCAAACTCTCCCTCGCCGCCAAACTTGATTTTTTTTTAACCTGCCAGCCGTCCTTACGTGCACTGTTTAACCGCCACCTCAATGCAATAATCGGCCTCCTCCGCCATTCCCCACACGCTAATCGTCGACGGACAGGCCACGTTGGACCGCGGCGCAACAGTCGTCTCCTGGCCATGCCAACATGTCAAAAGCGTCGACGCCCTCACTGCCCCGCTACGATGCCTCGAACCCATATTCCAAGTCCTCTCGCCCTTCATCGCCAATGCTGCAACCACCAGAGCCCCATAAGCGCAGCCCGACACCCTCAGTACGTCATGCGCCTGGCTGCCACACCGTACCGCACCGCGACCGGACACATTGCTAACATGCAACCACACAGTCAGTAACAGCCACGTACTCGCTCTTGTCCGCACAAGAAACCGCGCAAAAACTCTCCACCTCCGTCACACATGGCCTTTCTGCTGCAGACGCCTCGGCACGCATACACCTCCATGGCCTCAACGAACTCCCGCACGAAGAGCCCGAGCCGCTGTGGCTACGGTTCCTCAAGCAGTTCAAGGAGACCCTCATCCTGCTGTTGCTAGGGTCTGCTGCTGTGTCGTTTATCATGGGCAATTTGGAAGACGCGCTGAGCATAACCGTAGCAGTGACCATTGTCGTCACTGTAGGCTTTGTACAGGAGTACCGGTCGGAAAAGTCAATCGAAGCTCTCAACTCGCTCGTTCCACATTCTGCACATATCATACGCGCTGGGGCCGAGCCATCACGGGGCGGCCGCACACCCAATGGCACAACAGCCGACGGCATCGAACTGGACAACCTCAAGGATACTACAGCTTCGCTCTCCGCAGCCGAGAGAAAGTCCACGACAATCTCCGCGACATTGCTAGTACCAGGCGATCTGGTTCTGTTCCACACGGGCGACCGCATACCTGCCGACATTCGCATCACGCACGCTGCCGACCTTAGCATCGACGAATCCAATCTCACGGGAGAGAATGAGCCCGTCTCCAAGTCGCCTGATACTATTGCACCCCCAACAGGGGCCCAACGATCGCCCTCACCCTTTTACGCATCTGAAGCCTCTGGAACCGTTGGCGCAGACATCAGGCTTAACGATCAGAAAAACATTGCATTCATGGGTACTCTGGTCAGATCTGGGTACGGACAAGGAATCGTTATTGGTACTGGAGGCAACACGGAATTTGGCGCCATCTCTGCATCCTTGGGAGAAATTGAAAGCCCTAGGACTCCTCTGCAACTTTCCATGGACCGACTCGGAAAGGAGCTGAGTTACATGTCATTTGGTGTTATTGCATTCATTGGTTTAGTAGGATTGTGGCGGGGGTGGAAGTTTCTCGAGGTCTTTCAGATTGCTGTTTCGCTTGCCGTTGCTGCCATACCTGAAGGACTGCCAATTATTGTTACGGTTACGCTTGCTTTGGGTGTGCTAAGGATGTCCAAGCGCGACGCCATTGTCCGGCGGCTGCCCAGTGTAGAGACACTGGCCTCGGTTAATGTCGTCTGTACTGACAAGACGGGTAAGTTGTGCATACGGACAGTAATCTTGTACTCGCTAACCTCATAAAGGCACGCTGACAACTAACCACATGACTGTCACAAAAATATGGCATTTTGGCGAGGCTACTCCAACAGATGTGAAGCTCAAGCACGAGTCTACGGATCTCGACTCTCCCACTCGTAACATTCTGCGGATCGGAAATATAGTCAATAACGCCCGTCTGTTGAGCGACCACGCTGGATCAGCTTCCACAGCAGCAGTTCTTTCATCAACTCTGGGCGATGATAGTGCCTCGGCCAAGAGTAGATGGGTCGGTCAGCCTACTGATGTTGCCCTCCTTGACCTGATTGATGCTTTCGGCGAAGACGACGTGCGGGAAAGGCTTGGTGAACGCAAGTTCGAAACTCCATTCAGCTCAGAGAGAAAGTGGATGGGTGTTGTCGTTGGCAGCACTTCTGGTAGCCACACTCCCGGTTCCGAACACAGCTATATCAAGGGTGCATTGGAAAGGATTCTCGATCGCTGCGATACATACGTTACTGCACAGGGCAAAGAAGTAGCATTGGACCAAGCACACAAACAGGAAGCGATCAAGGCCGCAGAATCTATGGCTCAAGAGGGCCTGCGAGTGCTCGGCTTCGCAAGTGGTGTGTCCAAGGCAAAGAAGAGAAATACTAGTGGCACCGCCTCTCCAGCACCAACTGCACACTCGGCTCTTGGTGATGATGAGCACTATCGTAGTCTCACGTTTGCGGGACTTGTAGGCATGAACGATCCTCCACGCAAGGGTGTCGAAAGAGCCATCCGGCGTCTAATGGCTGGCAAGGTTAAGGTAATTATGATTACCGGCGATGCAGAGACTACTGCAGTTGCCATTGGAAAGAGTCTGGGGATGCCAATTACTGAAAACTCTGCGCTTGGACGCTCCGTCATCTGTGGAGACGAGGTAGACCAGATGAGTGAGGAAGAGCTTGCGCAGGCCATGGCAACGACGTCAATTTTTGCACGCACGAGTCCGGACCACAAGATGAAGATTGTTCGAGCGCTCCAGTCGCGAGGCGATGTAGTTGCAATGACTGGCGATGGAGTCAACGACGCACCGGCACTTAAGAAGGCAGATATTGGCATCTCGATGGGCCGGCTGGGAACAGATGTTGCTAAAGAAGCCGCAGACATGATTCTAACCGACGACAACTTTGCCACGATTCTCAACGCCATCGAAGAAGGAAAGGGCATCTTCTACAACATCCAAAACTTCCTTACCTTTCAACTTAGCACCAGTGCGGCAGCGCTGAGTCTAGTACTCCTGAGTACCTTTCTCGGTTTCCAGAATCCGCTCAACGCCATGCAGATTCTGTGGATCAGTAAGTTCTCATCAACACATATCCAGGATAAGGAAGACTAACCATACACCCCCTTAGACATTCTTATGGACGGCCCACCCGCCCAATCCCTCGGTGTCGAACCCGTCGACCCAGCCGTCATGGCACTCCCGCCTCGCCCCCGTCAAGCCCGCGTCCTAACACGCCCTCTAATCCAACGTGTCCTCCAATCCGCCTCCATCATCATGCTCGGCACCCTCACGACCTACTACCTCGAAATGTCCGACGATAACATGGTCACGGCGCGTGACACCACCATGACCTTCACCTGCTTCGTCCTCTTCGACATGTTCAACGCCCTAACCTGCCGCTCATCCCGCAAATCCGTTCTCGCAGGTGAAATCGGCGTATTTGATAATAAAATGTTCAACTATGCTGTTGCGGGCAGTCTGCTCGGTCAACTGGCGGTTATCTATTTCCCACCACTGCAACGCGTATTTCAGACTGAGGCGTTGGATCTTGCCGACCTGGCCCATTTGGTGGCGGTGGCGAGTTGCGTGTTTTGGGCTGATGAGGGGAGGAAGTGGTATTTACGCTGGAAAGGGAGGAGGGGGTATGGGGCGGGTTATAGTACTGCTGTATGATCTTGGAGGTCTTGCCATGTTTATTAGAGTAGAACACGGTGATTGGGTGAGGTTTCGTTTTATTTTTTTTAAAATATTCTTGTTTGAGGTTTTCTTAGAGTAAATAAAATGCATAGCGTGAGTTTGTGGTTGGGTTGTACATATATGTATTCTGCGTAGTTTACTTGATATATTTATGGAAAAAGGTGTTTGTAAAGAAGTCATGAAGCATACATGTTCTTGTAAATCATTTCGTGATGTACATTACCTTGGCCACATTTCTCTTTTTCATAGTTTCTTTTAGATCGTTTCTTTTCATGTACGCCGTGAACATGCTCAAAACTATATACGTGCTTTGTACAGAAAAAGCAAAATATTGCATCAGACCCTCAATGGCTATCGTGATGTTTGTTCTCCTTCTTCTTACCCCCCCCTCCCCCCCAAATACACACATACACAACCCAACCTTGTATGCTACAAAAAAAAAGGTATTCCCCATCTCCTTAAATCAACTCCACATCCCCTGTCCCACACCCAACACACCACCGCCGAACCGCACTCCACCGTACAACCCACACGTCCCCTCTCTTCATTTCAAACCTACGATCCGTGCCCTCGACAAAAATCTCGCCCACATCCCTCAACGCACGCACGAACACGGCTTTGTCCTCGTCTGGCTTGTCTATCATGCTAATGCCACCAGTAGTATCATCAAGACGCTGCAGCGAGGCCGGGAACTGGGATAGGAAGGAGGAGGCGTAGTGGGAGGCGAGTAGGGCTTGGTGGGATGTGAGGTATTGATGTTCTGCGGGGGAGAGGAGCGGGTTTGGGGTGTCGAGGGAGGATGTGTGTTGGGATGAGATGTGGAGGGGGTGCGTGTCGATCTGTTGATTGTTAAGATCAGTATATAGACATCTACCATATGTCCGAGAGATGGCTCAATGGGAGTAGTAGAGAACACTGCCACCCACCTTTTTTATCCTCGCCCGCAAAAAACTACGGACGAGAAACTTGAATCGCTCAAGTTCCGTCTGTATAATGATGAGGGTGAAATTCGTCTTTGGGTCCATGTTCCCTGTTTGGTCTTCGACAAGTTCAATCTGGCTGCGTCATTAGCCCTCTCAATCTCGATGTAATGTGAATGTATGTGTAATTTTAACGGCCAACGAAGAAGCTCAGACAATCATTATTGCTTTGTGTCCAGGACCGTTGAGTTCCTCCAACGGTTCGAAGGTGGCCCCAGCACGCAGAACTCACCTGTCTTGCGATGCGCTCTAGCACTCTTGCCATGAGATCTGTCGGCCACGGCAGAATCTCGGGCGCCACTCTCTCGGCAACCCAGCATCGCGTCAGCTCCTGTAAGTCGCGCGATTCCTGTGGCGTCGAGTCGACGGCGACCTCGGCCAGCAGGTCGTCGATATCCATTACTGCTCTTGTCTCGAATTGCACATGTAAAAGACAAGAAGATTGGCCTTCGAGACTAAAAAACAAACAAACTGTAGAGTCTCGTCTATGCAGCCAAGGTACCGTGCCGCATGTGGCAAGTAGAGTATGTAATGTACTATACACGCGTTGAACTATGTGCGTGCTTTGTGAGATCAGCAAGTGCTCGGAGCTCGGAGCTTAGCTCCCCTCTCCCAGCTGAGGTGGGGCAAAAGCAAAAATAGATGGTGCGCAAACAAGAGTAACTAACCCACAACGTATTTACCACCCCCAAAGCGGATGTCGGATATATAGAGTTGCTTGAGACGTGCAATTTGGGAGACTTGGGTGGCGATGGGGTGCATCGGCGCAAGCAAGACACGGGCTGGCGTGCAGGATGCAGCGTAACTTCGATTTGCGCAGGTTTGGTGGGGAAGCCATGTTTGGGGAGAGCGGGGCTGGCAGTGCTAGCGCCAAACGCGTTGGGACCTCACGCGACTGCACGGCTGGGTCCTAGGACTCTTCCGGGCAATGCCACTCATCCATCTGAGGCACAAGTAGCCCGCCTTTCCGGCTCAACAGATCTATCGGGCATAGCTCAAGGCGTCTGTCCGGCCAAAGCAACAACAATCCATCTGACTCGGGTTCCGACCAGTGACAACAAACAATGGGAGAGGCATGAGGGGTATTCCTTTTGTTTGTCTTGCTAGTCCAACCGCTTCTCCCGTTGGCTTCTTTGTCATTCTGTAGCCTGCCAAGTACATCATCTCAATCTCCACATACGTCTAGCACAAACACACCGACTTGTGAAGAGACAAATCTAACAAGTGAACAAGTGCATCAGAGAGATAAAGAACGAACGCCAAACAAAGCACCGTGGCCGACAAAACAAAGACAGCGATAATGACATCATGCTTCCAAGTACAAACGAGAACACCAAGCAAGCGTGAATGTGAATGATTAATGAGATGGATTATAATGTGCTGGTAATGAACGTTTGTATAGGCACGTAAACCTAGACTGTGTATGTGGCTTCGTGATGATTCTTAGATTTTGGTTCAGGTGAACACGGGCAAGAGCATCTTCCAGCTCTGCCATTGCAAAAAAAAAAGGGAAAAAAAGGAAAAATCCGGTTGAGGATGTACATGGTGACAAAGGAAATTAGAGTGCTTGCGGGCAGACTGGATCAACCTGCACAGCGGTCGCCGTAAACGTGGTGGGTATCCAGCCATCCCACTTAGGAAATGGTAACGTATGTCCGGGCCCTTGGCTCCGCGACATGGGGTATAGAAACGAAAACGGGGTCAGGATGCCCCAGAGATCAGATGCAGACTGTGTTCCTCTGACAAAGATATTCGAGGACCATGCAGAACAAAGGAAATCGCTTGAACGCCCCGGTGTAATCGAAATAAAGGACAAGAAGAGAAAAGTAAACGCCAATGCTGTGGGGATCCAATGCCGATGCAGCAAGTATTGATAAACGCCATGAATCGATCCGCCGTCAAGTTAGTTTGGTATCGTAATTGCGGCCAGAGGCCAATATGTGGGTTTAGTAAGAGGCAAGGCGACGGGTACTAGCCCGAGCACCGTCCAGTGAGTCGCTGCCAAGGCAGAAGATATTGTTTCCGCTTCTTGACCGGCTCATGGTTGTAGGGCTGTCCTCCATTTGGCAGGGTTGCCCAAAGGTAAAGGTAGTGGCACGGTTGAGTTTAGCACGCGACTTGAACTTGAGCTTGTTAAGGCCGCGCTCGCACGATTGTTCGTGCTCTTTGGCATCCATGCGGAGGTAGTTTTGAGGATAGCATCGGGTAGCGTGAGCATGGAAGAAGGAACTGTAGCCACCATCGAGGATATAGACTTCGGGAAACGAGAGGAAAGGATACTGGTGAGCGTTCTCTTTACGGTCTTGCGAGCGAACAAACTTGGCCCTGTTGCTATTAGTTGGTGAAATTGACTATGGCTGGACAAATTGACTTACATCAGAGGAGCACGATGTGCCGAGTACTCGCAATGGAGCACCAAGAGAGTGTTCTCACTAGAAGGGGCCTGGAAGAGACGCTCGGCAAGCTTCTCCTTGTCACAAAAGTTCAAAGCACCTTCAATGTGCCCACCGTTGTATTCATACTCGAAACGGCAGTCAATAACCACCTTGTTGTCATACAGGTGGTCGTAAACACCATCGAGCACGTCAATCAAGGTCTCACGGGTGATGCGAGGAAGGCTCTCTGGTTCGCTAGTAGTGAAATGAGGAAGTTTGAGTGGGTGGACATCATCAACATCCATTACAGACTGAAGACCGCTGGGCTGGTAGTTCTCCTGCTCCTGTTTGGCATTCATCACATCACCAGGGCTCTCGAACATGCTCAAAGAACGTCGGAACTTGCTTGGCCGACGCGATGCGGGGCCAGCAGGTTTCCGAATTGCGGCAAGGGGCGATCCATTTGAACTAGAGGTAGCAGTAGAGTTGAGACGGTAGGACTTGGGCCTAGAAGAGCCGAATAGGGATCCATTGGATGTGGGCCTGCTGCGCTCTTGTGGAGGCGAGGCGGCGAAGCACTCGTCTAGGGTTAGTGAAGACGAGGTGCGACTGAAGTCACCACACCCGAACTGGAAAGGCGGAGGCGGAGGCACCGAGTTCTCATCGGACTTTTCATCATCCTTGAAAGAAACAGAGTTGGACGAGTTGTTCTTGGAACGCATCAGAGAAGGCCTAAGCAGGGCAGACTTGCGGCGGCTACGTTGTGTTAGTTGAGATTGAGCAGGCATATATATATTGGCGAAGAGCACTAACTCAGCAGCAGACACTGGGCGTGGAACCTCGAGATTTGGCGTGGGGTACGTGGGAGGCGTAGGCAGATCGCTGCACGACGACAACATGTCACTGTCGGTGCCGGGAGTGGTCTCGGGCGAGGGCGAGGGAAGCGGCAGAGAGCGGTCGTTGACGAAGCTAAAGGGGGCCTTGTGGGGAAGAGGCGAGATGTCCATGGAGTCTGGAGCGAAGCCGGGCGACGAAGAAGGAATTGGTGGAGTGGTGACACCTTCCCATCGGGCAATTGGGGTCAGGTTTTCTACAAGAGCCTTGTTAGAATATGCACCTCCCTCCCATTGTCATGAGCACAGCCACTTACCCCTTGTGTCCAACTGCTGAAAGAGATTGGACGTGAAGAGCGACCGACGGGGCGTGGCGAGCTGAGGGCTGTAACAAAGGGCATTAGCACCGAAAACGGAAGGTGTCTGAAACCAAGCGTAGTTTTACCTCTGGTCAACGTGCAGGTTGCTCGACATGTCGGCAGCCAGACTGGCGGTAGGCGAAGAGCCGATGCGAGGCTGCAGGGCAAAGTAGTCTCCACTGGCCTTCTTCATGCTGAGATCACGGAAATTGAAGTTCTTGGAGCCAAGGTTGTGTGCACCTCCGAAGAGCGACTTGGATTGAGGCAGGTCACGGCGATAACCCCAGGGGCCGGGAATTGGGGGCGGGTGCATAGCGGCAAGAGGCGAAGACATCTCCATGGTGGTGAAGGTGAGGGTGGGCTATCGTCGTACCGGGCAACAGGCAGAAACGAGCGTCGGCTTCGGCGTCGGGCTGGAGAGAGCGGGCTGATTGGGGTAGTGTCGTCGGGTGAGGGCGATAAGGCATACAAGACAGAAAAGCTAATTCCAATCTGAAGATGCTGGGGCAGTGGGATATCGGAGCTGGTGTCGTGGGTGTTGGTGGTAGGTAGCGGGCGTTGTCGAATTGGGCGTGGTGGTGGTGGTGGTGGTGGTGCTACTACAGGCGGGCTCCGGACATGAGGCTGCAGGCGCGATGGGAGGTGGTGAAGGAGGTAGCGACTGCCTATAATGGATGTGGGAGATCCAAGCAAAAGCGAACCGTCGTCGACAAGGCGAGTGGGCCAAGTTAAGTCGGGGGATTGGGCCTTCTTGGGGGAGAGAAGGGTAGAGAGGAAGGACGGCGGGTCCGTCACGCAGCTGGCTTTGAGGATGCCATGGTTGCTGGGGTAGCCCGCTGAGAAGGTTAGGGCGGACGACCAGGGCATGGGCTGCTAAGCTAGGCGCTTGCACACACCGGAGGCCTCACTGCCCAGCACCAGCACGGGACAAAGAGGACTGGGTAGTGGAGTTTGTTCGTTCCGGCTATGCAGCACGTCCAAGCTGCGCTACGATGATCCGCTACCTCTAATGCCGCCGCAGGTACACCGGCTGCTGATTTGATCGCGATGGCATGCTCGGTTGCTTGCGTGCAGCTGGGCTGCAGCTTGATGACGCTCACTGCAGACGGGTAAACCAGTGTTTGCAGAGCGTCTGTGTACACACATGGCCCGTCTGCCTTGTTCTGTGTAGTGTAGTGTAGTGTAGTATGTGTATACGTATGTGCATCATCCAGCCCGGCACTGGCACGCCGCTCTACCACGGCACCGTGTGCGTCTGACGGCTGCTGCTTCACGTCTGTCTACTGTACATAATACTTAGATGGCTGCACCAGGCCGGTCCATGTCGCCGTGTGCAGCGCGTTGCCAGAGAAGCAACCGGCTAGCTCGACGCGGCTCAGACCCATGGCGGATGGGTGCTCCCTGTAGCGCAGCAGGTGGAGGGGGTGAAACGATGAGTTTGCGTGCGCCCCCCGCCTGATAGTAGTGTACATCCACAGCTAGAGTGAGTCGCGCCGCCGAGACGAGAGGGTGGCCTCGGAGTGGTTCAGCGTGGTGCGTGTAGCGTGTAGCGTGTAGCCGTATGCGTACCATGGAGACCGTCTCCAAGGGAAACCAGCCCACTCGGTACCAAACATGAGCGACTGCGGCTAGCTGCCCGCTGCATGGCCTTGCATGTGCGTGCGGAAACCGAACAGGCCAGCAACCGCCGTCGCCAAAGACGCGTGAACTGGCCCACGGCAGCCTGTCAGAGGCGGTGGATGTGCAGTGCGGTGCGGTGCAGTTCCCTACACGGATAATTGCGTAGTAGTGCGAGTAAGTATTCCCAGTTGGAGTAGCAGTAGTGTAGCAGTATTTTGCTATTAGAGCAGCCCACTTGGCCGCTCGCATAGCACAGGCAGGCCCATTTGGCCGCCGACTACGTATTCTTTCGTCATCGGCCAGGGAACGGCACACGTCTGGCACGCCCTCTGCCAGGGAATCTGCCATGGCGACGCTGGCCTCCATGTCATCCTGCTCACCTGCGGGCCGCCCATTGGCCATGGAGGAGCGAGGCGCACCCATTGGGCGAGCGGGAGATTTCCATGCTTCTTTCGGTGCAGCGAGACCGACGTCGCACGCCCACGCTCCTCTGCTCACAGGCGCCGTGGATGCGGCGACTGGCCACTGCATGGCTCGTTCACGCTCGGATCGCCTTGTCGGGCCCATCCATGTCCCCCCCAAAAGTCCAAGCCCACGCAAGCGGGCGCGCATTGCACCGGCCTGGCCTCGCCCCAACACACTACCCTCCTAGTGGCGTGCCTGCGATCGAGGCTGCTGCAACGAGATCTCGATGGCGACGCGCTCAAACGTCATACTCAATAAGGCTGAGGCCACGCCCGCCGGCTTGCCATGAATGGACTGGGTGGGCTAAGTAGGCAAACCTGTTCGGCGCCTGTCAACCCGCAGCCAGCGTCCCCTCGTCTCTTGAGCAACGGGCGAATACATGTTATTGTGTGGACACGATGCTGCCCGGCCAACGACGTCAGCAGGCAATTACTCGGCGTGGCCGGGGCGCGGTCGTGCAGCGCCTGGAGGCGAGCTGAGTCGCTGTTCGAGAACAACGGATGTTTGCAACGATGCCGGAATGGTCAAGCGGCGAGTGCACAAACTCTTTCATAAGCGCAGCCTGCACGCGCCCCCGCCAACGGGCTGGCTGACCCCTCCTTTTGTGGGTCCCCAGCGCGCGCCATGGAAACAAAAAAGCCTCGTCGCCAGGTGCGACGCGTCCGCGCCTGCCGTACACAAACAATCCCACGCACGCTATCACATGACCGCCACCACCCAGCAGCCACACACACACACACACACACCACCGCGCCAGTCTCACCACACAGGGTCCGTCATATACCCCAGACCGCGGGACCCGCCCGCGTTACCGTCTACGGCCTATTGTGCGTTTCGAGACCCTGAAAATCTGCACTGTGACAGCAGGCTAGCCCTCATCCTCTTTGTCACGAGAGCAGCACCTGGCCGCACGCTTCCGATCTGCCTTTGCTGGACGCCATCAGACTTACGTACCTATTTGCTCTATTCGGTGGAGATTGAAAGAGGAGACTGCGAAAGTAAAAAAAAATTCTCCCCTACTACTACTACCTACTACTAGAACCAACCCAGCCCCGCGTGGTCACTCACCCCGAAAACAAAGCCCCTTCTCTCTCTTCTGCTTTCCCTTGATGGGTTCGCCTCAAGAACTTAAAGAGTCAGCACACCCTCCCACACACCGGATAATCCTTTGTTGCACCGCCAGCTGGCTGCTGCGCATCGCAGCCGCATCCGGCCCACTAAAGGATTCGCCTCTATCAATATTATACCCCCAGGGAACACGAGTTTCACTTCTGCATGCGGATCGTGTGTGGCCTCGCGCTCGGCAAGTCGCTATCTGAGACGACGGGACGCTGTGACGCTGTGACGCGCCTGTAGAGACTGCTACATGTGGGGGGATATCCTCCGGCCAACCCAAGGTCCTGTCCGCCTGTTTGACCTGCGACAACGGCAGATCGCTTCCTGAGGAACATTTAACATCCTCAAACAATGTCAATTTTATCATCATTTGCATGCGTTTCCATCCCATGGCCTCAGCCCATTTTCTGATTCATGTTTACGCGTTGCCATCGCGTTGCCATGGAGATGCACTGGGTAAGACGTGCCTCATTGTGTACCCGGCTCCGCTCAACTTTCCGACGAACCCCACCACTCTCAAAGTTATACTCAAAATAAGGAAAAAGGGGCCGACCCTTTTGTCCTCTGCGTGGTGCGTGCCATACGCACAAAAAAGGAGAGCGAAGTTTTTCACCGGGGCACCGACCATGCAATCTGCCATATCGATACGCTCACCGTCTTCTCCTGACCACCGAACACGTAATTTGCACCTCGAACAAGCATTTAAGCTGTCCAAATCCCCATTGCTGCACACCACTTTCAGCTGATCCCACTCTCGCGTCCACATGTAGTCGCCGAAATGCTGCTTGCTTCATCAGCTCTTCCCTACGTGGCAGTGTGTGCTTCCTTATTCCTCGTCCAAAAAGGAAGCTCATGATGGTCAAGATCATCTCCACCACGACTTTCTCTACAGCTCCACGGAGAGATTGATCAAATGAGCAAGAAAGAGCTGAAAGTCTAAATCCATCTTGAGCATTTCCTATACATTATGCGACAAGCTAACCATTTCTCATTATCCGGGACTCCGCTATTCCGTCTGATATCCGTTGCTTTGACTGCCAATAACATGTGTCATGCCCAGTCCATTTCTTGCTCGATTCTCCTGCTCAACTACGCTCAGTGGCAGTCCTTTGCCAACTCCGCACAGTACAAAAGCTGCCCACTTCCACCGGAATGGATTGATGGCAATTGTAAAGACAAACCAGTAAATCAGCTCAGAGTATGTGAAGAAATCAAATGCTCCTCCGGGGGCCTTGCTCTTGATGAACCGCGTCATGTCTATCCACCGCTTCATCCACCACGTCCTGGGTCGTGCCAGCGGGTCCACCAGATACATGAGCAGGAAGCGTGTGTAGATGCCAATGTGGTAGTTCCCGACTGTGCCAATTGCATTGACATATGTGCAGTTATTTGCGCAAATCGAAGGGTGTTCTGGAGGGAAAACCTGGAGGTACCAGTTTGGTGGATCATATGGCTCGTTGAAGACTTCCTCTGGCAGGAAGCCCAAGCTTGGTCGTTTGTATCCCGTAGCCATGATGACAATGTCCGCTTCGATCAATTTCTCTGAGCCAGGTCCATTCTTGGGAACCCCCTGAGCGCGTTTGTTGAACTTGATACCCCGACCAGAGCCATCGTACCCCATGATGTCGCCGCGCAGCCAGGAAGCTTTACCTGAGCGAATGAGGTCGAGAACCTGATCGTTTACCATTGGTGTCTCGGTGAAGAGTCCCTTTCCACTATTGGGCGCCGGCGAAATGTCGTAGAGGTCGCGGTAGAAGAATAGTCTCAGAATGTACTCTGGAATCCAGGAAAAGATTGTTTCGGAGCCGAAAATGTTGAGGGCCAGAAGAGCATCGATGAATGGATTCCGCGGGATGATCCACTTCTCACTGCGCGAAAGGACATATGCATGTTCTGCCTCTTCGTTCGCAACAAACTCCAATGCCTCAACAGCAGATGCACCTCCACCAATAATGGCCACCTTCTTTCCTTTGGCCACCTTGCCGTCTAGGTCCGAGCTATGCCAAATCTTTCCCTTGAAATTCTCCTGGCCAGGCAGCCTCGGCATCTTTGGATCACCACATGTTCCGATGGCTGCAATGACTCCATCAAATCGTCCATGGCTCGGGTCGTTGATAATCCATCGCCCGTGTGGATCCTTGTAGACCTTCTCTACCTTTGTATTGAACTCCGTCTTGTCCTCCAGTCCATATCTCTTCCACAACTGTGTAATCTGTGACACAATCTGCTGGCGATCCGGATATCCCTTCTTCCAGTGCACCGAGGGGTGGAAGCGATACATGACTGAGTGGATTTGCAGACCAGAGGTGTTGTTCACTCGGCTCCAGATCCCACCTAGGTTCTCTTTTGGCCCAGCCTCAAAGATACGGCAATCAAAGCCATGACCGACAATGTGCGAAGCAGCCGATACACCAGTGAGACCAGCGCCTATAATGGCAATCTTCGGGCGAGCAAGGTTTGAATGGGGTGGAGGGGGAGTAGGTGAAAGGAGTAAGTCAAGCACGTATTGAACCACTTGGTAAATGAAGAGGATAGGGTGTGTAACAAAGTACCAAATATAGTCGATAAAGTATCCCATCGTGAGTTGATGGGCTACAGCAATGGAACAAATTGACAAAAGGGGGCGACAAAGGATGCGCTTTGCAAAGGTTAAGTACGACAAGAGTACTTTAACATGTTACTTACTAGTGTCGGGCATCTGCGGGAAACGTGCAGCTTCAACATGGTTGTCTTGCGCATTACGCTCAGTGATGTCACAGTGATGAGTCTGACATGTGAAAGGTACCAAGTTGACTGTCAGACCTGCACGTCACGTTGCTCAGCTTAAACGAGGAAGATCCCGACAGAAAGTTGCTGACATAACGTCATCAGGTAAGCAATCTTGGACAGATCTGAGATCAATCTGGAAATTATCAACGAAACTCTCGGAAAGGGGCGAAGGGAGATGTTCTCGATTTCAACGATCGACGGCAGGGATATGCGGGTGTCAAGCGAAGAAGCTTGGACTCTTCGTTAGTGCGTATGCAGGTTAGTGCATTGTTGAACATCCTTAGCCACAGCGAGCTCTCCCGTTTAGCTTGACTCCACCCCCCAACCGTCGACGGGGGTTCTTGCAGCCATGCCATTCTTTCAAAATCAGAATGATGTCGAGACGCGTCTGTGCACAGCCGTCAACGTCGCTATACGAGCAGGCGATGCCAACCAATTACAGTCAATTGTGCTCCTGGAGCCGCTTGAGGCCAACCGCTGGCCACCAGATCATCAAGAGCTCATAAACTCGTTGAAGCAAAACTACCCTGCTTCTCATTCGGACTCTGAAAAGCGTCTCGAGGATCTGGTCAGACGTGTGGTGACTCAGACGGCAGAGTCTGAGGATGAAGAGGGGAGGCCGGTGCAATCTTGGGGATCGCTCGTCACGTTTCTTGTTGGATGGATGACCTTCCTCAGAGATGTCGACGCCAATAATCTCGTCATGGTATTCGAGATGATGACAGACCTCCAACCGTAAGTTTGACCACTATATACTACACCCAAGAGACACAGGTATTGATAGCAATGTTAGACGTGCCAACAGCGCATTGCAGCATCCTACCAAGGGCATCATGATGCTTCCCACAATCATGTACTATGCCAAGGTTTTTGCACGCGTTGCAATCGGCTTGGACAATAACCCTAGTTTGGCGCAACAGCTTCTAACTGATGTGGACGAGGATGGCCAAAGAGAATCATTACCAGAGAAGGCTGCCAACATTGTACGACAAGCTTTCATCATCTGCTTAAACGACCGCAACACTGTGCCAGGTGGCATAAAAGACGGCAGGCCCGATGGAAAGAAGGTGGGCATCTACAAGATGGCCAACATTTGTCTGAAGACCTTATTTCAAGCCGACAAGCTGGGAAGCTGCGAAACCATTTTCAACAATATTTCAAATTCATCTCCACCACTACATTTCTATCCAGCTGCGGAGCGGACAACATATCTTTACTATCTCGGAAGATATCACTTTAGTAATACCAACTTTCACGCCGCTCAGCTGGTTCTGGAAGTAGCCTACAGAGGCTGCCATAGGCAATGTCTGAAACAACGCCGCTTGATCGCTGTCTGTCTCGTCGCTGCAAACATTATTCTTGGTCGCTTTCCAAACGAACACATCTACAACGATCCAGCCAATGTTGGCTTCCGCGAAGTTTTCGTTCCAATCACTCAAGCCATTCGTAAGGGTGACCTGGAAACCTTCCGCCGCATCACAAACCTGGATCTTTCGCACCCAAGTGCCGAATTCATGATCAAATACCGCATCTTCTACCCCATTGGCAACTACTGCGAAGTTCTCGTATGGCGGTCACTCCTCCGGAAAGTATTCATCCTCACCGGCAGCATAGGCGAAACATCAAAAGCAGCAGCCCTACTCGACCTCCGCGCAGCCGTCCAAATATTTCGCTTTCTCGAGGCCCGCTCGCGAATCAAGAATGCTGCAATGGCGGCCCAGGACCGCGGCCCAGGTCGTCGCAATTTCGGCCACATCTTCCAGGACCATGCCTCAACTACAAAGTCGACGTATATTGACCCGGACTTTGCCGGCTTAGACAATGTACAGCCGTATACCCACGAATTTGATATACTGGAAATGGAATGTATATGCGGTAGTCTGATTACGCAGGGATTCCTCAATGCGTATATTGCGCAATCGAAGCAAAAGGTGGCAATTCAGGGTGTTAAAAACGGAAATCTCAATGCTGGGTTCTTGGTGCCGTGGGAAGTGAACAAGGAGAAGAACAAGGATGATGTGCTGGGCTGGAAGAAGGAAGCTGGGGGCGATGGCGGCAAAGTCGTTAGACTCTCGTTTGCAGCTCCGGCGGGCTCATAAGACGTGTGCTAGATGATACCCTTGTATTCGGTTTGCATTTTTACAAGAAAACAAAAAGACTATATATTGGCATCCTATGGAAGGATTTCAATGCATACATAGTACTAGTTTATCTCTAGCTATCTATCCATCTATCTATGTTTCTTCACACCATCATCTCCCACCACCTCCTCTTCTTATTTTCCAACATTCGTAAACCTCAAATACTTCTTAACCTCCCTCACCTCGCCAAACTTCTTCCTCGCATCTTCGGTACTCACACTCGGCGGCACAATAACATCATCCCCCTTTTGCCAATCAATCGGCGTCGCAACACCCTTTTTATCGCCCACTTGCAAACTATCAATCACCCTCAGCACCTCCGCCGTGTTTCTACCCGTACTAGCCGGATACGACATTGTCAGCCGGATCTTCTTGTCCTGATCGATGATGAAGACGGAGCGAATGGTAAATGCGATGCCGCCGGTCTTTTGCAGCGCGTCGAGATCGTCCTGCGAGATCATGTCGTAGAGGTATGCGACGTGACGGTCTGCGTCGGCGATGATGGGGAAGTGGACGGTGGTTTGCGAGGTTTCGTTTATGTCGGCGATCCAGTCGGCGTGGGAGGACAGGTCGTTGGCGCTCTGGGTGTTGCGTTAGTACGTGTTGGTTAGAATTGTTTGTAGGAAGACGACGTACGAGACCGATCATTTGGACACCGCGGGCGTCAAATTCAGGCTTGAGTTTCGCAAAGGCGCCCAGCTCGGTTGTGCAAACCGGGGTGAAGTCTGCGGGGTGGCTGAAGAGGATTGTCCATTTTCCGTTGAGGAAGTTGTGGAAGTCCTGGTCGGTATTAGTTGTTGCTTCGTAGGATGTAAGGGAATGCGTACAATATCGCCATGGGTAGTTTTTGCCTGGAAGTTTGGAGCTGGGGTCAATGGGTTAGTATAGTAATCACTATAAAGCGCTTTGCAAAATCTCAAGTACCAATTGATCCTAGCCTTAGGCGTGGTTGTTCGGCGGGAAGCGCATATCCGCGACTAAGCAGTGGGGTGATAGGACGCTGTGCCCGCAGTACAGGGCGCGCAGAGGAATGTAGAGCTCGGGAAGCTGCGCGAGGAAAGAATGAAGCCATTGTGTAGAGCACAAATCACAATGAAGTTGTCGCAAGTGAGTTCTTTAGCTCTCTAGCTCTTGTACATCGTCTGGGGGCGATGGAGATTAGTCAGTTTGGGATCCTTTTCCTATGGCGTCATCTCGAATCAGAGGGGTTCTGTCGGTCCGAAATCGGCTATGTCTTTCTCTCATAACCTTGGTGTTTGTCTTCATTTAAATCATGATTCATGACGATTGGGAAATATCACAACAGATTTCTCTGGAATTGGTTGCAATGCCTGGAATACATATCGAAAAGGATGCTGGTGTACATGCACTGGTAGCGTCATTCCTTCCACCCGCCATGCCTTACAAAGCGCCGTCCACCTTTCCATCTTTAATAGTCACTTCCAACTCATCTTGAGATCTAAGCATGAGCGGAACAACAACTCCTTTCCATAGTCGTGCTGGAACCTTTCCGTCTTCGCCCTCCTCGTTCTCAACTTTTCCACGCCACCAGCGGCAGCCCTTTGGATGCATCCGGATCTTGTACTTTCCATCCTGTAGTCCTTTCATTTTCCAATCGATCTGATGCACAACAGTAATAGATTTGTGCGGCTCCAATTTTATCAACTCGTCTACTCTCGGTCGCGTATCGGCTTTGGGGTCTCTCAAGTGACACTTGCTAGGATCTTCATGTCCGCGGACCACTTCTCCTGTTACAGCATCAAGAACCACGAGACTAGATATCGGAGCATAGTTTTGTGGCGTAGAGTCGATGATTCTCGGACGGTCGTCGAGCACATCGGGCTCTGGCTGCATGGGACCCCATGGAACAAGGAAATTTTGGTGGCCTCGAGGTTGTACAGTGATGGTTTCCTCAGTCGTGTTTTCAACGGTAACTTCTAGCGATGTGCTTTCGACCAAGCGTAGCCTCAACTCCACTTTCGGTGGGAACAGTAGGCTGTCCATGACTTTGAATGTTGCATTGCCGTGAGAGTAGCTGTTGACCAACTTTGCTGTTTCACCATGAGCTGCTGCAAATTGATCTTGGTCTCCATACATCCATTTGCTGACACCGAGGTCTTTACTCGCGAGTCTTATTCTGTATCTGTTCCCTACTCTGAGTATCGATGCCAGAGCACCCTTCAGATCAATATGCCCTAGATATACTGTCATATCGTCCTTCCAGTTCTTTGTTCGGCTGATGGGAGAAGGAACAGAGATGCATTCCGAAGTACTCTTGTCAATTTCTCCTATGTTGCTCAAATCCACTTCGGTCCATCTTGTAGTTTCCCCAGGATGTTCCTCGTGTAGGGTAAGCAAGCCATGTGCCAAGGCGTATGGGACATCGAATATTGAGCCTGCAGTCTCGATGAGTAGTGGGCGAGGATCCGTGTCGGACTTGGAAAGACGGCAGATGCCGAACACGACACTGAATGGCAATTGTCCCGATGCGTCTAAAACGCTGTAGCGGCTGTGAGGTTGTATGTGAATAGAGAATTCGCTCGTCATGGCGTGAGTGTAATAGGAGTGTCGAGAGCCAAAGCGATTCCAAGAAGGTCGATGATTCTATAAAGCAAGCTCTACGTTAGATTTGGGGAGCATGGTCGACTACGAAAATCCGTAGGCAGTGACGTCAGGTAGGCGCGTACAGTAGGCTGTGGCACAGCATGATTCCTATTCTGAGTCAATCGCTCGAATGGGGCGAAAAGTGTAAGGCGTCCAGAATTTCCCAGGATTGATTGGCCCATTACTTAATAATAACAAAATCCATCCGCATCTTGCAGCCAAAGGGAGTGCGGCACGCTATGTCTCGGATTCCGGTGCTTACTGGTTCAACAGGTTCTGTCAGCGATGTATAGACTAGGGTAACGTTCCCCACCACCCCCAAAACGATATACAAATCATGATTCGCCTACTAACTGGGTTGAGAACCATTCCGCCTTACACCGACCCAGAATTATGCGATTATACCAGGAACGTATGGTATTGCATTTGTGTCACGTGTATGTACTCGGCATATGGTGCCAAACAAGGTAATTGGAACAGGAGTATTACAGGCTTTCGAGTGTGGTTCTGTATCACATCAACCTTGACTGAAAATTAGCCAGTAGTATTGAATCTGTGTCGAGATTCCAAGCTATAATCGCTACTAGACAGACCTCTTTGGCGCATAATTATATAATGTAGCTGTTGCCTTGACAGCACAAAGGGGATGAAAATACCTTGAAGTAATCCACCAACGCGTCCCGTTTAACATCATTGGATTTTCAATAGAACCCATCACGTGAGAATAGATGTGGCATGGTCGACCATGAAACTTCAGGCAAACTGTGTTGTTTCGAGGAACCGACATAGCCATAGGATCAGACCACGTCATGTTCGCCTTGTTCGCCCCGAGTATTGCACGGGAATAGAATTCCATAGCGTAAGCTGACTTTGTAGGAATCAGGCGCACTCGTATCGCACAGTTTCACCTATACGTGACTGATCGTGATGGGAATTCTTGCAAGTGACCTTGGGAGTACCTCCTGCAGCGAAGAAAAAACATGTATATATGGCATTAAATTTGACTGCAAGTTTACATTAATGCCTACAACACCATCACATTCTTCCCAAGAGTAACGAACTTCTAACACTCAGAGTCCAAATTCTTGTTACATCTATCCTTCCTAGCAGATAACGTTTCCAACATGACTTTCCTTAAAGCCTTTTCTTTTGCTCTTGCTCTTGCGTCAGCGGTTCACGCAAAACCAATCTCTAACTCACCGACTAGAGTAGTTGCTCGACAAGCCCCACCGGAACCATCGTCGTATCCACTGGGTGATGCTTGCACGAATGAGTGGAGGTACCTAAACTTCGACCCCGATAATGAAACCGACAAGGCCCACCTAGAGCTGCTTCACAACATCCTCTGCAGCGGCGAAATGTTAGCCATCACCAGCTATGGAGCGGGTGCAGCGGAGAGGGCTCTTAAGCCATATTTGCGTCATTTTGGGCTCAACGAGGAGCAGGACGATCCTGCAGAGAGACCTGATGAGTACCACTTCCAGAACCACGTCAAGAATGTCTTGAACTTGCTCGCTGGTGATGGTGAGAACAATGTCAAACTTGGGGCTGTCGTGGGAAGCTTTGTCGTCGACAACAAAGGTAAGCTTGACTTTAGTGCCTTACGATGAAAACGTCCTAATGCACATCTTAGACTTTGGTGCAGACATTCCAAATGCATCTAACTGTGATGGACGTACTTACGCGTATACCCTGGTCGATGAACCAGTTGATCAACAGGAGAAGATCCATTTCTGCGACATAACCTGGACGGGCCGTTTAGAAAGCATTGCAGACATTGACTGCGGTGCTCTTGACCCCTATCCTAGCGTAAAAATGGACAGTATCTCCCGTATAATCCTCCACGAATGGACACACTACAGTTCGGTGGGTCCAAAAACTTCTTTGGAGGACAAAATTCAGGACAGACTCAACGATGATGGAGTATCTGCCTATGAACCTGATCGAACCCATGGTCTTATCGACCCTGAACAGGACGACGACCCGGTCGGCGCATCCCTCAACGCCGACAACTATGCATGGATGGCCTTGGATGCATACGTTAGTCGCATCTGCGCTACAGATCCTAGTGGTGACAACTGGCAGACATTCTTCACCGAGAGTAAGTTTGTTGGCACGTAAAGACTACTGTGTCGTACATATACTGATTGTGCATAGATCCTCCCGACTACGAGCGCGAAGATGATTCCGACCCTGAGACACCACCTTCCTCGAGGGCTTAGATATCATCAGCTGTAACAATGGACGTCTGGAATAGCTTGTTGAAGAGATAGTAACGAATTGCGCTGCTTTTGCATACATACATTTGCGTTTGATTTACTTTTTCTTACGTTCTTTGCACGTACACACTTAGATTAGCAATTTAGACTATCACCAGTATCAATCAAATACAATATAGGACTTCACTGCCAGCATAGTTTCAATCTTACCAAAGATAAGAACATGGTACTAGGTACATGTCACCGATCCTTAGCGGGCCTTGCTATTGGTTGCTCTTTTTATGGCGTGCACAAGTTCCCAAACGTTCCCGCAGAACAAAGTGGGACGAATACACTAATCTTGGACTAAACTATTTGTACCAACAGATTTTACTACGGATGAACGGAAGCGACTTGAGTAAGAGTTGCAAGGGCTGTGGTGCGGACACGCAATTGGGCCAGCTGGGAACCTTGAACATGACGTCACCGCGCACCAAACACCACGGGCTAACCCATGTGATTTTCCTTGGTTGCGTGGCTGGGGTATGATCAAGGTTGGAGAAGGTAGCCGAAATGAATTTAAGCGCCGTTGAGAATCCCCTTCTACTATTATTCCCGATTTGCAGTTATTACTCTGAAAGTTGTACCCAGGACTAGATCCTAGGTGAGCTAGGTATCTACACGCGTCTCGCCAACATCACCAACACCATCACATCTTCTTCATCATGTCGATCACATCATTCGACACCGCGCCCGGAAGGGGCGGATTCCTGACATTCAACTCCTCTCCTCCGCGCATCTACCTCACAAGCACGTATCCCGCTCCAGAAAAAGCGCTCCTAGCTTGGCAAGAAGAAGGCTACGATGCGCAATTCCTTCCCTACGAACCACGCAAGCAATCCCAAACCGAATACATCAATACCATCCGAAAACTCACAGAAGCATGCCAGCTCGGCGAGCATTACGCGATAATTGCGTATGGCGAGGCCGCCAGCCTTGTCCTCAAAACAGCACAGAAACCGCTGGCGAAATGCTGTGCGATTGTCGCTTTCTACCCGACGCTTCTACCCAGTCCAAAAACCATGTACCCGCGATCACACCAATTGCAGGTCCACGTTGCGTGCTTGAGTCAAGCCAGCGCCAGACCGGAGATGTGCGAGTGGAAGCTGTATCGGTACGAACGGTGTGCTTCAGGATTCTTGGATCCATCATCCCCAGCGTATTCGGAAGTAGAAGCCAATCTAGCTTGGACCAGAGCGCTGGCGAGTATCCGCAAAGGATTCGGAAAGAATGTCGATCTGGAACCCGTTGCGATTGCGCATTGGAACGCACGTTTTGAGGACGACGATCCGGATCGAGCGAGCATGGCTGTGGCCAAGAATATGACGCAGGATAGCCCGCATGTTACTATTCTTCCCACAATGGAAGGCGGTGTGGGAAGGAAGAAGTTGGCTGAGTTTTATGGGGAATTCTTCGTACCGAGTTTGGTCCCGGATTTCGATATACGCCTGATTTCGCGGACCATGGGCGTTAATCGTATCGTGGACGAGATGGTGGTGTCTTTTACGCACTCGGATGAAATTGATTGGATACTGCCTGGTGTGCCACCGACAAACAAGCATGTCGAAATAGCCATGGTCAGTATCGTGGCTGTACGAGGCGACAGGCTCGTTTCGGAACACATGTATTGGGATCAAGCTTCTGTTCTGGTGCAAATTGGACTACTGGATCCCAAGGCCGTTCCCAAGAAGCAGAAGAGCGATGGGTTGAAGACACTGCCTGTCTCAGGGGCAGAGGCAGCAAAGCAGTTGGCGGAGCCACAACAGGGCCGTTATAACAAGCTACTACAAATACACGGTCTGATGAATGGAATGAATGGGAACTAATGGCCACTTTTTTTTACTGTTTACAGCGTGGTGTTTTGGAGTACAGGATGGCAAAATCTCTATTTCGAAATTGAGAAGTCCTATCTGGTTATGAGAATCATTAATGAATCAATGTCAAATATCTTGTTTCATTACATCTTACTCCCATGTCCTTAAGTGCGTGACCTGCCCATCACCCAATGAAGCTGCAAGTCGGTAGCTTATAATCCTTCAACACCCAATACTTCCTTCTTACACCCTCCCACTCACCCTTCTCATCAAGATCCGGTACAGAAATAGTCTCCCACTCAGTATCAAACCCAGCCTCGAAGAGATCAAACTCCACAATCTTGGTGTACACATCGTACACAATCTGTCGATCGGCCCCCATACCATTGAAGAAGCCAAACTTTCCGCCTTCGCTATCTGCACCTCCTGCGGGATCGAGCAGCCCGATAACGTATTCGGTGAAAAATTCGCGCAGGGCCTTGTACTCCTCAGCGAACGTATCGAAGTAGATGGCATCGAACAGGTCGCCCTTTTCCACAAGACCGGGAACAATATCTTGCCATCGACCCTCGTGAATCACGACTCCTGGTTTTTCATGCCACCCTTGTTCTTTTATACGTTTGACCACGTCTGGGTGTGCCTCGATAATGTGATGACTTATTGGCTTCTTTTCTTGAAAGATTCCATCGATGATACCCATGCCGTGACCTACATTGAGAACCCGGAGACCTTCTTTGGGTGCTAGGAGTTCCGCAGATTTGCACATCAATGTTGTTTCCCATTCCATCATGACGCCGTTCCCTGAATCGTCTAGCAGACGATCGCGATTAAATGTAAGTTTCGAAGCAAGGTAGTTTGGATTCTCGGTCGACTCGTCGCCTTGTGTATCTTCCTGGGCTGTTCCTCCTGTTTCGGCTCCTTCTGCCACTTCTTGTACTTGAGGTTCTTCTTGTTCATCTTCCTCCTCATCCTCTTCGTCCGAATCGTCGTCTCCAAGAGGTTGGTATTGCTCCAGACGATTCAGCAGCATTTCTGCACGAACGCCAGCGTCTACGCATAGATCATATAGCTCTTTCAAGCCGAGCCTATGCGCTATACATCCTGGTGTTTCGCCATTTGAATCCAAGTCATTCCATATTGCGCCGTTTTCGAAAAGAAATTTGATTGTCTTCACGGCGCTATCCATTTCTCCAGATTCCACAGACGCATTGCCTGCGTCTCCATTTGAGTTAACATTAGTTTGATTCGCATCATCTTCATCTGGTTCGCAGGCGGCAATTGCGGCGTGTAGAGGTGTGAAGCCCGTCTCGGGATCTTGTACATTGGCAGAAGAATTTCGGAGGAGGTTGCGCAGCGATGCAGTATCGTGGTTCGCAGCAGCAAGTAGTATGCTTTGTGTTTGTAGATCGGTCTCGGTATCGAATGCTGGGTCGTCCATACTGTGTATTGGCGTTTTGTGAATGTCAATCTTGAAGAATGCGTAGAGGGGTCGCAAGTGGAGGGGCTAGGAAATTTATTGGCGCGAGTCATGCAGGGTCCATAATGAAGACTGGTGGATGTCAGTGTCGCTCTCCAAACTTTTAGTGTATCAATCTGATATGAACTTGGTAGGTGACGGATCCAGATACTATATAGCTACCGCAAATCTATTTTAGTTATAACATGTCCAACTATACGGTGATTTGTTAAACCCTCTCTATACAACAGTTCGTTGATGATACTCGAGCCCAAAGAGATTCGGCTACTTTCACAGCACAGTCATCTGATCGTGTTTGAACCGAATTGCAATAGTGTCTCTGGTTGCTCGAAATCCATACAAAAAGCAGCTTGAATGCTCATCTTCATTCCTAGGTATTCACTTTGGATTTGTATTATCTATGTTTTCAGACGGCTCACAGTCGTACGTGTGTAGAGCCTCGAAATAAGTTTAGTTGCGGATAAACCCAACAGAATCAATGAAAAGGCTCAAATCACTTGAAACGACAATATTGGTAAGATTTTGACATGGCCTATGCCACTTCCACCCACCTTAACGCCAAATCATAATTAGGAATTCCTCCATGGTATGCGAACTGCTGACCGCAGTGACAGAAAATTCATTATACCATGTAGGCTTTTTGTAGGCTCAAAGATGAGGCCCTAATGCGATTGTATCCAGGCTAGCATCTGACCAAAAGCTTGTGCTTGCGACTGTTTGATCTTCGCATCCTCGTAATCCCCAAAGACGGCGAAGCCATGAGGTACTCCAGAGAAGACTTGAATCTCGTGCTCAACCTTGTTCTTCTCCATAGCTCTCCGACCAGGTGTTAGCTCATCATCTTCTGAGAACATCGGATCATCTTTCACTGCGGCGATGTAGACTGGAGACTTGACGGCCTCGAGATCCTCTTTGTATGTCATAGTTGGGTGTGCGACAGCGCCAGCTCGAAGCACAGGTTCTTTCTTCGTTGTTCCTTGCTCTTCATCCTTTGGAGTTTCTTGACCCCAGGCAATGGTATCAGGGAGTTCAGAGGCTAGCATGAGGATGTACTTTGCGCCAAAGCAGTAACCGACACCGTAGATGCCTCCACCATTCGCGACAGCATCAGCATATTCCTCTTTGGCGCCCTCAATGACCTTGTGCAGCAACGGAAGAACCTTCTCGGGAGTGTGACGCGCGAGCCACATGTCAATCATAAATGACTTTATGCCCTCCGCCGTTCTCAATTTGACAGCCTCAAGCCAAGAAGCATCCTGCGAGACCTCGTCCATGCTGACACTGTTTGGTGCTGGGTCGTTATCGAATTGATCAGGCATCACGACCAAGTACCCTTCCGCAGCAAACTTGTCTGCTTGTAGCTGGTTGTTGGTAGACTTGACGCCGGTACCGCCCGTGAGCATAAGCAGGAGTTTCGAGGGCGAATGCGGGTAGTCGGCAGGCTTAGCAACGTAGCATTCGACACCACCGAGCTTCGTCAGATCACCTGTAGGTCTCTCGCCGGCGGGGGTAGGGCGGTCTGTCGTGCAGTGTTCCTAGTCAATCAGTACTCATAACGCAGAACGGACGGTTGTAAAGACGGATCGAATATGGAGCAGACACTAGAGACCAGGAAATGCGCTATATCCGCAGCCATGATGGACATATATAGTCTACTGTTACACGACATAGCGAATTAACTTACACCCATGCTTGGTCCATCTTGTGCTCTAGTGTCTCCAGGAAAGACGCTCTCTGGCGCTGGCTCCGGGACCTTGGCTTCTCCCTGAGGCGTCTGCTGTTGAGTATCTTGCTGCGCATCGCTCTCGGGCGCACGTGTAGCAATTTCGTTGTCCGCCATAGTGTTTATATGTATGTATGCAATAGTTGAAAGAGATCTGGTGTTAGTGAGCTGCAGGTATTCACAAATGGTCCAGGTGCTAGCCGGCCACTTACGTAGCCCCGCCCTGCCACACTTCACATTTGGCTAGAGCGGGGCTACAGAGTCACATGACCCGACGCGTCGACGCGCTTTCTGATCTTCGCTATACCGCCACCGACACGCAATTAGCACAACGCCATCACAACACCCATACACTGTAGTCAAAATGGCAGAGGGAGCAATCACCCAAGGCGCTATTCAGTGAGTCTCTATGCTCAGCATAATTGGAGCCATGCTAACTCCACCCAGGAGCATCTTTCAGCCGAGCGGTTGCTTCGTAGAACACCCAGTCCTGCAATGCGTGCAGATCAAGACCATGGAGCCCAAGGCGGGCGAGGCAAATCCCGTACAGCGCTTTCGGGTTGTGTTGAGTGACATTCGGAACTTCATTCAGACCATGATCGCTACCAGTCAGTCAATCATCAGAAACCTAGAGTCGTGAATATGGCTAATGGTATACAGCTGCCAACGAGATCGTCACTTCTGGTCAGCTCAAGAAGGGATCAATCGTACGACTTCTCAAGTACAATCCTCAACGTGTCAAGGACAAGAAGTATATGCCCTTATGGTGTCTATCTAGCGGTTGCCTAACACATGGACAGCATTTTGATCATCATGGAACTAGAAGTTCTTTCGCAGTACGGTGAACTTGACAAGATCGGGCAGCCTGAGGCTCTAGATACCAAGCCTGCCGATGCACAGCCTGCTGCTATCCCCGGCAATAATTTCTACGGATCGAAGCCTGCGCCTGCCCCACAGCCCCAACGCTCGCTGCCTACTCATCAGAGCAATCCTGGAACTTCTTCACATCCTCATCTCTATCCTATCGAATCGCTTTCGCCATATGCCCACAAGTGGACCATTCGAGCACGATGCACCCACAAGAGCGACATGAAGGAATGGCACAACCAGAAGGGAACGGGCAAACTTTTCAGTGTAAATCTGCTGGATGATACTGGCGAAATTCGAGCGACAGCTTTCACAGAAGTCGCTGACAAATTGTTTCCAGTCTTTGAAGAGGGTGTTGTGTACTACATCTCTGCACCCTGCAGAGTAACGCTTGCGAAGAAAAACTTCTCAAACTTGCCCAACGACTATGAGCTGCAATTTGAGCGTGACACTGAGGTTGAAAAGGCAGAGGATCAGGACAACAAGCCACAGATTCGATTCAACTTCACCAAGATTGGCGATCTAACCTCGGTTGAAAAGGACACAACCATCGACACGATTGGTGTATTGAAGGAAGTTGCTGAGGTTACTACAATAACTTCGAAGAATACCAACAAAGACTTCAGCAAGCGAGAATTAACACTAGCCGATGACAGTCAGACATCAGTGCGACTTACCATCTGGGGCAAGACTGCCGAGAGCTTCGATGTACCACTGGAGTCGATTGTTGCTTTCAAGGGAGTAAAGGTCTCCGACTTTGGCGGCCGAAGTTTGAGTCTGTTGAGTTCCGGTTCAATGATGGTCGATCCGGACATTGACGAGGCTCACAAATTGCGAGGCTGGTTCAATGCTGTTGGACAGAGTGCTACCTTCTCTACGCATCAGAACATGGTGTCCACTACTGGTGGTTCCAAGAACGACGCAAAGCCAATTTCGGCCATCATCGAGGAAGAGGCTTATCTCCAAGATACCCCCTCATACATGAGTCTTCGTGCATCGGTCCTGTACGTCAAAGATTCGACTTTCGCATATCCTGCGTGTTCGACACAAGGCTGTAACAAGAAAGTCATTGAAGAAAACCCTGGCTCTTGGTGGTGCGAGAAGTGCCAGGCTACTTTCCCTGAGCCCAATTACCGCTATGTGCTCAGTGCCAACGTTGGGGATCATACCGGAACGTTGTGGCTCAGTTGCTTTGACGAAGCGGGCCAAACAATCGTTGGCATGTCAGCAAACGAAGCTATGAAGATGAAGATGGATGACGAAGAAAATGGTACGAGAAACTTTGTAAATGTCATGCAGGAAGCGACCTGTAAGACCTTCAACTTTCGAGTGCGTGCGAAGATGGAGACGTACCAGGACCAACCCAAGTAAGTTTCATCGCCACATTAGAGTAGTGCAATGCTAACGAACTATCAGGCCACGATACCAAGTCATGAACATATACCCACTCAACTTTGCCCAGGAGGCTAATAAGCTCGCCCAGCTTATCAAGCAGTACCACATGAACGAGGATAGTTTGTTTGTCAACTAAGAGCAAATTGGGAAGATATGATTGTCTTCAGTAATGCTCTACAATGTATGGAATTTCAGAAGTCCCTGGCCTCATACGTGTTTATTCTTGAACACGCACCAGCAAAGCTGATTGTATGATATCAAAATACACAATCAAGTGCCTCTCTCCCGTTGCCTATGTTGTCCGGTACAATGCACCCCACTATAGCTGCTAGCTCCATGAGTCGTGGAGCTGCCCCGCTCAGACGTCATTACCAATCATTTCAGTAGCGGACGGAATGCTTTCGGAAACAGGTGCAAGTACATATTCTAGCTCTTGCTTGGTGCAGCTCAATCGTGTGATTTACGTCTTGAACACTGTGATTTTTGCTTGTATTCTAAATAAGACAATCGGCACAAACAATTCCTATCAGAATGAGCGACGCAATGCGCGCAGTAGGTCCGTACATACTTTCATGCATCCCAGAACATTACTTTACTAACATTCCTCAGACATCAAGAATGGCAAAGGTCCACTCGAGAACCTGCACATCGCCGACGTGCCCAAGCCGAAACTCGGAAAGTCGCAAGCGCTTGTCAAGATCAAGGCCTTTGGCCTGAACCGCATGGATTTGCTGCAGCGCGAGGGCCAATACCCCGTACCGCCTGGTGCTTCTAAAATCCTAGGCGTTGAGTTTTCGGGTACAATCGCGGAACTCAGTGAAGAAGGCGGTGGAAAAGAAGGCTTCAAGAAGGGAGATGAAGTATTTGGCTTGGCATATGGAGGGGCTTATGCAGAATACATCGCAGTCTCAACACATATGTTGGTGAGGAAACCAAAGGAGTTGACTTGGGAGCAATGCGCTGGAATTCCCGAGGTAGGTTCATCCCGGTTGTAGAAGAGAGGGTGAAGAGCTAACGTATGGACTAAAGACATGGATAACAGCCACCCAAGCTATGTACCTGATCGGCCAATTCAGTGCCGGAAAGACCATCCTCTGGCACGCAGCAGCGTCATCCGTCTCAATTGCCGGTATTCAACTCTCCCGCGCCGATAATGCTTCTGCTGTCTATGCCACCGCTCGTCAGGATTCGAAATGCGAGTTCGCCGTGAAGGAGCTGGGCGCTACCGCCGCATTCAATACCACTTCTCAAAACTGGGTCGAAGAGGTGATGAAAGCAACCGATAACAAGGGTGTAGACATTATCATCGATTTCATTGGCGCATCGTACTTCCAGCAGAACCTCGAGGCTGTAGCGAAGGACGGCGTCATTGTGAACCTGGGTTTCATGGGTGGTACCAAATTGCCAGAGGGTACGGATATCAGCGCATTCATCAGGAAGAGGTGCAGCTATGTTGGCAGCAGCCTGAGGAGTCGCGATGAAGCGTACCAGGGCAAGCTCAGAGACCAACTCGTAGAGCATGCGTTGCCAAAGATGACGGATGGCACATTCAAGCTCTATGTAGAAAAGGTCCTGCCATGGGAGCAGATCCAAGATGCGCAAAGGTTGTTGGAGGAAAACAAGACAAAGGGTAAGGTCATCTGTACGATTGGCTGAAGTTTGCACAGAGGATAGCACACTCCATGTCGGAAGATAACACTTAATTTGATATACGTACCACTGCCAGACGCTCAGCACTGATGATGCCGCAAAGAGCCAACCCAAAGCCGAGTATAGATTCACTGTACCATAACACAAGCAAAAATGAACACTACACATATGCATCCCATGGACCGAGGCTTGGAACGAGAACCAGCAAAATGATGTAGCAAAAAATACGACGTTGGCCAGATTCGAACTGACGCTCCCGAAGGAACAAGATTTCTAGTCTTGCGCGATAACCACTCCGCCACAACGCCCGAGACCGACACCTGTGTGATTCGAACACACGCTCCCGAAGGAACTGGCTAACTTCCCTCAATACAGAGGACTAGCAGGCCAGCGCGTTAACCACTCCGCCAAAGTGCCTGCGTGATTGTGTCAATTGATGAAGAAAATTAAAGTCGTAAAATTTATATACTACAAAGAATTTGTCAGCATCTAGATGGATAGGCGATACGTATACCAATGTTTCTCGTGTTGTGGATGAGAAATGTGGAACTGTGTGGTGGGGCCAACAAGTCTGTCGAGAGATGCAGGTGCAGGGTTCGCATGTAAGGTTAGCTTGAACCTGGTAATTCTGGAAGTGAGTTACTTTCTGTTGTAAAGTCTCATTCCACGCCAAATATTTACGAACCATCTGATCGCGACAAGAATCTTCCTATTTTGATACTTACTATATCCCTTGTTCATGACAAGCAAAGAAGACAGGGTGCTGCTGAGATTATCCAAAATGTGTTCGACTAATACGTGAACTCAATAACCATGCTAGCTCGGTGTGAATAGCAAATGTAATAATACACAAGAGTGAGGAAGGATTGATAAATGAATGACAGTACCGCATAGTCCTAATTAACACTGGAATGTGAAACAAAGAGGGAGAAACCGGCTAATCGCGCTAAGTGAATGGTTAGGAACCAAGAAACGGACCAAGTACTACCTAACACCTTTAACATCTAGTTGAATACAGTTGTAGTACTGCTAGTGACCAAACTTTCACATGCTACCGAATTTGAAACCGTTAGCAGGCTAGTATGAGACACTCAGCAGAGCCTCTATGTGCAGGTAGTCAGACCAGAACTAGCAGGGCGAGAAATAACGCGTACATTTCTTTCGTGCATATGCAGAATATCTCATGGCGACACCCGTTGGCCCGGACCAATATCTGCGGTGACGACGTCCGTGCGGGCGGGGTAGCATTTTTGATGCCTCAATATTCATCAACGTAGGTTTTTCAAATCAAAAAGCCTTACACGGTACTGGTAGCGCCCTCGACTCACGTGGATGATGCTCCATGCTCACAAGATGGGCTGCGGGTGTTCGGCCACGATCTGCCTCGGCTCGCCAAATAGCCAGCCGAGCCCTGGACCGACGTAGGCCCAGCTCCGACGTAGTGTTGGAACTGCTCACATGCTGAAATTAAATTCGCTTTCTCCCTCACTGCGCATATTCCCCTTTCTCAAAATTGCTGTGGGAGCGATCGCATAGCTCACAGTTTGCTTGAGCCATCTTCTTTCCGTCTTCTAGCTATCTCTAACAAGCGCAATCGTCACTCGGGCCATTTAACAGCGCCCCACCAAAGCCTCCCACCAACATGTCAAGCACCGCAGACGCCGTTATCGAGAAGCTGCCCTCCACAGCGGAGCTCAAAGAAGATGCTAAAGTGGCGACCAAGTCCTCGCTTCAGTCGCTACGAGCGCTGATAGCTGGAGGTGTGGGTGGTGTTTGCGCCGTCATCGTGGGACACCCCTTCGACCTGGTCAAGGTGCGCATGCAAACAGCAGAGAAGGGCGTATACAGCGGAGCTATGGACGTCGTAAGGAAGACAATAGCAAAAGAAGGTGTGGCTAGGGGTCTATATGCGGGTGTTTCTGCGCCTCTTGTCGGTGTTACACCAATGTGTAAGTACTAGAAAGCCAACTGGTCAAAGGAAGGTTTTTGGAACAACAAGGCTGATGATGGACAGTTGCCGTCTCATTTTGGGGTTATGACCTCGGCAAGCAGCTTGTATCCAGTGTGTCAAAGGTTGAGAATAACCAGTACAGCGTCGCTCAGGTTTCCGCCGCCGGCTTCTTCAGCGCAATCCCCATGACAATCATTACCGCACCCTTTGAGCGCGTGAAAGTGCTTTTACAGATTCAAGGTCAAAAACAGCTAGCGCCTGGTGAGAAGCCCAAATACTCTGGCGGTCTCGATGTTGTGCGACAACTCTACAAGGAGGGTGGTATCCGCTCAGTCTACCGTGGCTCTGCCATGACATTGGCGCGTGATGGACCAGGCTCAGCTCTGTATTTCGCCACATACGAAGTTGTCAAGCGCAACCTCACACCAAAGGATCCAGTCACAGGGCAGCCTGGCTCATTGAGTATGGGTGCCGTGATGGTCGCTGGTGGTGCTGCAGGTATTGCCATGTGGATACCAGTGTTCCCAGTCGACACCATCAAGTCCCGCCTGCAGAGTGCAGAAGGCCGACCAACAATCAGCGGAACTATCAAAGGCATCCACGCAAGTGGTGGTCTCAAAGCTTTCTTCCCTGGTATCGGACCCGCCATGGCACGAGCAGTGCCTGCAAACGCTGCTACATTTGCTGGCGTAGAGCTGGCACAGAAAGCAATGACGAAGATGTTCGACCGAGACGTCGAATAAAAATCCCCATGCACTCCTACATGAATTCTCTACGACGGACATTTTATTTTCCGATTATGGTCATATTTGTTGATTTCGACAGGTTGGTGGCATTGCAATGGCGTTTTTAGACTCGCCGCAACACATAGCTATAGAGCAAGGGGGTTTCTAGATGAACTCTTCTCTACGCGTGTCTCCAATAAATTATTATTATCCACTACAGCTGTTTCCTACCTCTCTCCTCTACTCCCGATGTCCTTGAAGCACGTGCTGACCTCAACAAGGGAGGCAAATAGAACGCAGCCGCAACCGCAACCGCAACTTAGTTTATATTCGTATGCTCGCGCGACAGTCCTTTGTTCTATACACTTCCTACCGATCGCTGCAAAGCACCCAATACTGTGATGCGCCAATGTCCTTCGACTCTTGCTTTGTTCTGCGTCAGTGCTTATCTCCTTCTTTCATCACCCGTCTCATCACCACGTCTTACACAGGTCGCCGAGTGATGATCAACTGAAAGGGATTTCCTGGATAAGGTTTCCGTGCGTTGGAAGTGAAAGACCTAGTTGACCTACGCGTTTAGTTACAAAAGTATGAAAACAATAATTGCGCAATCTTCAGTTGCTAGGCTATCGTCTTCGCACGTCTTAAGCTTCCAATACGATCCAATGGTTCCAGTGGTGTCGCCTAATTACCCAAACGTGATTCAGACAATATCACACAAATATCCGTCAGCGAGACTCTCTTCTAGTCCGGCATCATTACCAAAAGTAGTTCACCACATTTCTGCGAGGAGAGACTCTATACGCCTTGATATGAGCGACATTGTGAGCCGAGAGTTGGTATTTGGGGCTGACGTCTCCTCCGACAATTCATCCGACCAAGATTGGGAAGACAACGTCAGAAACATGATGCATACATTTACACCCGACCAAACGGACTAGATACAGCAAAGAAAGAGCAGGAAAAGAAATTCAATCGCATCGCTGTCAAGCCCTGCAAAAGCTTCCATACACAGCCGAGAATCTGGTATCGACGACGACTAAACGAACGTTTAGCGCGTATCGGCTTCCTTTGAGAACGTGGAGAGAGGTCCAAAAAAAGCAAGGAGGATATTTTTGCTCCATTTGAATAAGGATACTGTACGCCTAGTGCAGCATGGTCCGAGTATCGACAGCTCAAGGCATTCAATTAGGAGCAACTATTTTAACTGCGTATCCTCAAATGGAGACAAGGAGAAATCTCATTTATATCTTGCCTCAAATGATGAAGAGAACTCTCGTACTCTATTGCCACTAAGTCCGACATCTCAAAACTATCACAGGCGAACTGCGTCCGAGAGTATGATGGCTGACTCAACCATCAATGCCCACATGGCAACCATGCACGCACTCGAGTCACGAAATCTCGATCTCCCGCCAATGGCTTCCCATGGATTCACATACCTACAATCAGCTACTACTTCCGAATTTCCAAAGTCATCGTCCTGCCCGAGTAGTGGTCGCACAACGGTATCTTCTCTACTATCGGCCGATGGCGATCGTCTTGTTTATATACCATCTCGTTTTTCTGAGACACAGCATCCATTCACGACTAAGAAGAAGCATAGAGAATTCAAGCCGCATACTCGATGGAGTTGTTCTTATCCTCGTATCGACAACCAGGGGATAGAGGAATACACAAAGCTAAGTAATTTTGATGTCAATGGAGAAGTCCAGACAACATTTGGTGACTGCAAAGGCAAACGTATCCTTGGCCTTGTTGCCAGTGAGGAGGAGCTTTTGCAAAGAAGCGGACATAAAAGGAAAATAAGATCACAGGGATTGACGGGAAGTAATTTTAAGTACGAGAGCGCTAGTGCTGAAAGTATGATCTGGCTAAGCTTGCGAAAATACGGCTGGATGAGAAAAAGTGATGATGGAAAGAGGAGAAAAATGGGTCGCTTCGCCATGCCGAACGTATCTTCACTCCATAACTCCAGCTATCCCGACAAGACACGAGTGCCGATTGGAGAGGCAACAGCATTTGACGACAAGCGTTTTGCAGAAGACCTCCAAGCTGGCCACCACAAGCTAGCTGGATCTTGGTTCCTTCGTACATTCAGCGCTCACAGGCTATGTGCCGTACACCTCAGTCAAACCAGTGTATGGAGCGGTACTCAGACTCGGACGACTACAGAAGGGTTGCTAGCAGCAGGAGATGGGACCTGCATCTCTGAAGAAACCCGAAGTCCGCTGACAGAAGAAGGCTTGATGAAACTACTGAGAAAGCCACAGATGGGACAAGAAAGATATATGTGGGTTCACTGGGCGAGGCGGATTGCAGCATCAAACTCCGTTATGCAGACATATCCACATGTGAGGGACTCAAGCCGACTTCCGCCGCCGACGATCACAACAATCGAATTCCTGCACACACCATGCACATTTAGAATTCTGATGGCACTCGCACTTTGTCTGCTTGGTTGTATCACAGCAGTGTTGGTGTGTATTTTTATGACTTATAATAAGATGGGGATGAAGGGAGATGCAGGTGAGCAGACAAGTAAGCGTGTGGGGGATGGGATGGGCATTGGTGTATTGGTGCTAATGTTAGAAGGGGTGGGATTTTGGATCTGGATCGCATTTAGTTAATGGGAAAGGGAGGATGAACAGGGTATAGAAGGTGTCGATGACTTGTACATAGCCAGGATTAGAGTAGTGATTGGTGAAGCATGAGCCGGCTAGCCCCATGCGTGCTAGCCAGGAACGTCCAAAAAGTCTCCCGACGCGCTTTGCCAAAGCTGAACATATTATCGCAGAGCAGCGACTTTTGGAAATATACCCATGGCTCCAATGGTCACGACCGGGCCTGGATATGCCATTTTCAATGACTTGCGGCGAAGGATGGGTATTTCTTCCTCACAACCTGTCCCTACCTCAAGCCGCGATGTCAACGTTGGTGCCGGACCTTCCCCTAGTAGCCCGGAGCCCAAGTCCCGCTTTGCTAGTGAGTACACGAATCTTACGCGTGAAGAGACTATGTCTACTCAGCTTGGTGTATTTTTTTACAAACACGCGCCTAATGCATTTAATGTATAGGCCCAGACATGGATGACGTAGCCGCATCTCAGCAGCTCATGGACGAGGGCGCGCGCGTCGACCCCACGTATGATACCACTCAACAGCTTCCGCAGTCCGACGCCGCTCACGACAAGCCCGCATCTGCGCGGAAAAAGCGCAAGAAGAACAAGTTGAAGGCGACGCAGAAACTCCCCGAGACCTCATCTGCGAACACACGGAATGCTGCCAGTCCACCCGCAAGTCCAGCATCCTCGCCATTTCCCTTCCCAGCGACCCAGCCAGAAGCTGAAGAAATCACCGGCCCAGTGTCGGGAAGCCTTCAGATGGTGCCGAGTACATCGCAAGCATTGCCTACAATTGACGTGCCTGATTCTCAGGTCGCCGCTGTTCCCGTCTGCACACCCGCTTCGCCACCGAAATCCAGCTACGCGGTGCCTTCCAGTGTCACCAAGACCAAGCGCACGTACAAGAAAAGCAGGCAATTGAAGAGAGATGAGATTGCTCAGGACGCTATTTTCGGCGAGACTGTAGACCAACTCGCAGACACAAACACAGGCACAGAAGACCCAATTTCGCCTTCGCACACGACTCCTCAGCGCAAACGTCCACGAATCAGGGATACAGACGGAGGATCACTAGGAACTGTAGACGCAACGCCTGCACCGGCTAAAAGGCGGAAGATTGGTACACCCAAGTCGGCAACTACCCTGCAAGATCTTCTACAGACAAGCCCCAATGACGATGCCGATACGCAGCAAACCAGAAAGACGAAACTGAAGCGAGTAAAGAAGCCACAGACGCCTATTGCAAAAATCAAGGACATTTATGATATCCCAGATGATGAAACAGAGCCTACTAACGGGGCTGGTGAAGCTCTTTCGCCATCTGCGAATAATGGATTTGTGCAGTCTGGTGATGGAGAGGAAGGTGAACAGGTGCAAGTAGATTCGACTCGTAAGAAGCGTAGTGAAAAGAAAAAGAAGATAATGAGTAATGGCGATGTCTACGACTGGCATGCCTCTGTGCGCAAACCCGGCCAAATACCGAGTGCATTACTAAGCAACAAACAAGACGACGACATATTGATGCAAGATCCCATATCTACTGATGACGAGGACCTCCCATATGCTCCCTCTGAAGAGGAAGGAAGTGAAAAGACACAAAAGAAGGGAAGCAAGGAAAAGGGGCTGGAGCAAGAGAAGGAGAAGAAGGAGAAGAGAGGGCGGAAGAAAGCGCAGAAGAAGGAACGTTTAGACGGTACAGGCGTGATAAAGATTCGCAGAAACAACGGCAGCAGTATTAGTGAACTTTCGTCTGCTGAAAGAGCGCTCAGTGCCTCTCGAGACCTTGGCCACCCTCCGGATCTGCGAACGAATGGCGACTTCACTGAGGACGAAGAGGAGCTGATTCGGCGAGCCATCCTAGATTTTCAACAGCGAAAGGGGTTGGATATTTCCGAACTTGTTGAGATTATCCAATGGAACCAGTATGATCCTAGGTTTCATCGCGATCCGGGTGTCAACCGGAACAAGAGTGATTGGACACCTCAGGACCGCGAGGATGAGCGAGAGAGCACGGAATTCTGGAACGAAATCAAGAGCATTGGAATGACTCGGTCACATGACAGAATGAGGAGGCATATCCGTCAATTATATCACCAATTCAGGAGCGGTGCATGGACAGAAGAGGAGGACCAGCAGCTGCGAAATCTCCAGGCTGCGCATCCAAACCAATGGAAGCTCATCTCAATTACCATGGGCGACCGTTCGATGCACGACTGCGTGAACCGATGGCGGGACTACTTGCAGTACGGCGAACAACGAAAGACTTCTCGCTGGACTGAAGACGAAGAAAAACTCCTCATCCGTGCTGTGACGACGGTTGCGCAAAGAGATGAAGATCACCGCGCCGAGACAGGAAGGCCGCCACTGGACACGTACACCAATAAACACATTAGCTGGCCTCAAGTTGCTCGCGAAATGGGTAACTCTCGCAGCCGCATTCAGGCCTCGGTCAAATGGACTCAATTGATGAAGCGTGATAATCCACCGCAGATTGAGATAGAATACAAGCCTAGAGCATCAACCGCAGCGTTGATTGATGCGCCCACAAAGAAGAAACGCAAGCAGAGACGAAACAAGGACACGGGGGATAAGAATGTGTACAGGTCTCGAGACATTATTGAGGACTCAGATGTGGAGGAGAGAGAAAACCCCGAGAAGGAGGCCGACGATGAACCCGAACCTGCGACAAGGGTTACAGCGAGTAAGAAGCGTCGTCAACCCGAGGAACCTTCTGACGAGTCTCAAGACCGGGGACCAGAAGAGGACTTAGGTCCAGATAATGGGCCAGCTAATCCGCCGCCCCTGGAGAAGAAGAAACGTAGACGACCACGCAAGAGCGAAGCAACGGAAGCCAATAAGCCTAAGAAAATTAACGAAGCAAGCATGGCAAGAGATGAGTCAGCAGACAGGGAAGCAGAGGAAGAGCATGTCAGTGGCGAGCTAGGCGATTCACATTCTAAGAAGAAGAAGGATAAGAAAAAGAAACGATCGCGAAAAAGTGAGATTGAGGAAGTTGACGAGACTGAGGAAGGTCAAAGAGAGAAGGATGATGTAGGGGAGAGTCGTGAAGAAGATGAAGATGGAACTCGACAGGATGAAGCCGAAGATGAGCAGGAACAGGAACAGGAACAGGAACAGGAACAGGAACAGGAACAGGAACAGGAGCAGGGGCAGGGGCAGGATGAAGCACAAGCCAGCGAGCAAGTTTCAGCGAAAGCTAGAGATGAATCGGCGGTTGGGTCGGCAGCTTCATCGGGCGAGGAGGAAAAGGGCGTGTCTGAGCCGTCGGACGGGCCGGGTGTAGATCAGATGCTGTGGGGCGACAAGTATGATCTTATCTTCAAGCTCCAGGATCGCAGGGACGACTATGAAGAGGAGATTGACTGGGAAGATGTGCGCAAAGACCAAGGGTACCCTTGGTCGACGGAAACACTCAAGACAGCGTTAGATGAGTTAATTGGGCTGATTGGCAAGCGTGGGCGAGAAGTGGACGCAGATGACTTTCCAGGGACGATTGACGATGTCATGGATTTCATAAGCGAAGAGCATGGCGCTGAGCTTGAGGAGCACTACCAACCCGCGTAGAGGAAGGGGTATATTGAATGAAAGCGAATAAAGGCTTTGGTGTAGTAGTAGGGTAGTACACTACTTGGGAGCATGGGGGATGATGAGTGGGGTTATTCTTGGGTGGTCCCTCCCGCATCCGGCGATGCCTGCTTGGGCCGTTTTCGCGCACATGGTAATCCCGTATACGAAGCCAATACGCCGCCTTGCCCTTGGCACCCGAGATGCAACGTTAGGCCGCCGATTGAAGACGCACTTTGGCATGCACAATGTACTAGAAAAGCGCGGCGCCTTGGAATTGTACACATGTAACTTGCATCACGCGCAATACACGCACTCGAGCATCTACAGACTTAGTACAACAGGGTTGGCTGGCGTAGCAGTAAGTAGAGTATAGCCATGGCCAGCCGAGTGAGGACCGTCGTGGGCTTAGTGGTGGCAAAAATAGATTTAAAGATGGAACCCTTTTTTTCCCCAAGGGTCACGAAGCGGTAGCTCCACTTAGAGGCTTTCATTGTTTATTGGATGCTATTGGCTGCACGCTGCACAAGCTATTGGAATCGTTGTGAGCGTGAGCATGTGTGCGAGGGTGCATAGGCATGGATGTGCGGGCAAGTGAATTTGACAGCGATTGGTATGGAAGCGGAAGGATCGGGAATGAGCAGGGTTGCAAGAGTTAAATACGCGTATGTAAAACACAACAGATATTGCGGAGTGAGGGTGAGCGATGAAACGGACAGATATTGAAGATCAAATGGAGGAAATACTCTACTCTACTGCACTCTGGTCTACGGTAGAGTAAAGGGCACTTGATAGCCTTGTGAATGGGGCGGGTGGGCAGTCGGCTTGGACTTGGCACATGTCACGCTGTTGCACTGCCAGCCTCGCCCGACGTGACCAATGCGACGCCGACTTGGCCGTTGAAACGCCCGATTTGGCCGTTGCAGTTGCAAGCCACTCGCCATTCTATATCGATCATTGCCTATCCCGGCCCCCTCCATGACGTGCTCTCGTCGCACGCCAGTCAGCCGTGGCAGTGGCATCTCGTTGCGAGCATGGTGTCAGTTTGAGCCGGTGTCATTGTGGTAGTATACAAGAGCCTTGGTTCAACCTGACCCGGCTTTGTTCCACCTGTGCTACCCACTACCACTACTCCTGCTGCCACCACCACCACCATCCACTTTCGCTCCCCCACACCCGGCGGTGCTTCTCCATTCCCCTGCATCGCCCTGCTGCTGCATTTGATCCTTCATACGTATTGTAATCTGCCGCTCGCTACTTATCCCCGCTTGTGTTGCGTGTCGCCTTCGCCTCGCCCTGCTACTACTACTCTCGCTTGCACATCGTCATTACCGCTGCTTGACGACACCCACTCTAGACAAATCAGCGTTCGCATCCTTCCTTCAAGGTCGCTTGTCACGCCCCCTCGACCACTCACCGTCACGGGGCGATCACTGTAACGGCTGGCCCCCCCTCCTCACTCGTTTGAAAGGCCAAGGGTGCCACCTTGGTTCCTGAACCAAAGACGTCATTTTTTGAAACATTTACCCGCTCCTACCTGCCTCACACGACACAACCCCCGATTTTTTAGCTACCGCCTAGTAGCTCGACTCGTGTCCTCTGGAACATCCATTGTCTGGTTACCGATTTCGCTATATCGCCTGCCCATTGCGAGCTCCACCGTCTTCTCGCTTCCACACAATTTCATAACCATGGAGCGAGTACGACAGCGACCAGCGCCTCAACCAGACTGTCGTCGAATGTCCATCTTTACAGAGGTTGGCCTGGTGGATGAGCAGAAAATCCAGGAAGAGCGGAGTCCGGTGCGCGCACATGGTGAGGCTTTGAAGAAGTTGCGACCAGTCAAGATTTTGCGGTTTAGAAGCCAGAACGACATTTTTGATGAAAGAGGACAAAACCCAGACGACGATGAGGACGAGTGGGAATCAGTGTACGATGAAGACGAGACCAACGACTCGATGCCTTCTATGACGGTCACCACAACACAATCAGTCATGCCTGCGAGACTCTACCGATTGGGACTATTAAGCCTTTTATTAGCCCTGATGCTACCAATCATGCAGTTCAACCCACTCAAGCACATTGGTGTAAGAGCTGGCGCTGTTCCCGCAAACCTGATTGAAGCCAACATCCAACATTCATCGCTGATGAGGCGAGAAGACAGTCCTACTGATGCGTGTAGGCGATGGAGTGGCCAGAGTGCCATTGTCAATGGCACACTGTACATGTATGGTTTCCGCAGAACCACTGAGGCTCAACAAAAGGAAAACACGTGGAGTATGTTCGCTTAGTTTTATTCATACCCTACTCGTTCCATGGCTTTAGCACTAACTCTCAACAGATAACGATTTCCTTACCCTCGACCTTACCGAGTCCTGGCAGATTAGTTCGCCCGCTCTCAAAGGCCTTCCAAAGCCCAACGGACCACCCGCCGTATCGCTTGGTCAGCTTTGGTCATCTTTTGATTCGCTGTGGCTCTATGGCGGACAATTCTCTGATACCCCTATAGTCCAGGCAGGAAACAACTCAGTGTGGGAATACAACATTGGAAGCCAGCAATGGATCGAACACCCCGACCCCAAGACTTCGGCTGGCGATAAAGCAGAGGATGCTGGACAATCGGTGCAGCGCGTTGCCGAAGGCGCTGGCCTCACCGTCAGCACATTAGGCAGGGGATTCTACTTTGCCGGCCACCTGGACTTTCTCACGACTGAGGGATGGAGCAATCAGGTCGCAAGGGTTTACTTGAAGAGTCTGTTGGAGTTTACATTCCCCGGACACACTAATGGTAATGTCGAATCTTTGGGTGACGGCAAGACTGCTGGATCTGACGGCGTGTTCCGCAACGTCACTTACGGTGGACTGCAAAACACGGCATCCTTCCCTGAGCGCGCTGATAGCGCCCTTGTCTATGTTCCTGGTTTTGGCAAGGAAGGTTTGCTGATTGGTGTTACCGGTGGCGATAATGCTACTTTTGTGAGTTCAATCGTACAGTGATATGCTTACTCAAGATTCTGACAATGTGTAGACGCAAATGAACACCATCGACGTCTACGATATCGCAACATCGACATGGTACAAGCAAAGCACTTCAGGCAAAACACCAGAGTATCGTGTCAACCCTTGTACTGTTGTTGCGGCTGCTGCAGAGTGAGTTTTTCCCCCCGGCCGTATATGCTGATCGGACTTTGGACTCTGTGCTAATGTTGGTTTTTAGTGGCTCGTCCTACAACATCTACATGTTTGCTGGTCAGGACCTAACACCGCCCGGCAACCAGAAGCAGCGAGACGACATGTGGATCCTATCTGTTCCGTCGTTTACCTGGATTGAAGTCGATCAGGGTTCCGAAAAGGCGAGTATCCCCCCACCTCGTGCCGGACATTTGTGTCATGCATGGGACGGACAAATGATTGTTCTTGGAGGTTACAACACGGACCTTGGCTGTGATACGCCCGGCATCTACGTCTTCAATATGAGCAGCCTTAGCTGGAGCGACCAATTTACTGCCGTGACAGCAAAGAATGCGCTACAAAGGTACAACAAGGATGACAAGGGCAGCACGGGTAATCCGCTTGCCCAGCAAATCAACCAGCGAGGTTTTGGCGTCGAGGCTGGTATCGAGGGATCCTATGGCTACGCTGTTCCTGAGCCAGTACGACAGGTTATCGGAGGTGGTCCTACTGGTGGTGCAACACTCACTGCACCCCGTCAAACACCCACACAAGGCCCCCTTGCAACAGGCAAGCCGCAAACCTACACAGTAACAGGTCCCGACGGCGCAACCATCACCAACGTAATCAATGGAAACCCATCTTGGTCATCCCGCGATGGTCCCAACATCGGCGCCATCATCGCTGGTGTGATTGCAGGCGTCTTCTTCTTCGTAGCCGCCTACTTTGCCTTTTGCGCCTGGATCTACCGTCGCCAAGTCAAAATCTGGAAGAAGCACGCTGCCGTCATGCAGACACGCGCAAACGCCACGGCAGAGAAACACGGCACGTATACGTCGTCGTCTGGCAAACTCAGCTCCGAGCGTAACACTGGCACCGCAGGCGGAAGCAGCAATGGCGGAGTGGCGGCTGGCTCTTTTGACATTGCGAGAAGAAATAGTGGTGATGGCACGGCGTATGGGGGTCCTGGGGCTGAGTGGGGACGGCGAAATAGCGAGGGGAGTGTTATTGATGGGCTTTTGGATGTGCATGAGCCGACGTTTTGGGGTGCACGAGGTGTGCTGCTTAACCCGCGGAGGAGTCTGCGGGTTATTAATCGAGATTAACCCTTTTTGTCAGGAAGGGCTGGTATATTTTCTTTTTTTCCTTTCTCTCATGATTCCCACTTACTATTTCTTTTGCGATCTTCCTTGTCTCTAACGAGGTTCTATTGTGTTGGCGAAAAAAGGCTTATTTAATCACGATAATCACGGATGGTTACAAAGACACAAAAAATGGGGATATACAGGTACATAATGCTACTACTAGTCATTAGTAATAATGCAATACTATACACAACCATATCTTCGTCAACGTCAACATCATTAATCGCAGATATGGCTTTTGATTTATACATGATCATCTCGCTCCCTTGTTGCAAAAATGCTTCATGGATCGAGATTGCGGTTGATGTTGTACTGTCGATAACCGAATCCATCCATGGTGACCCAGTGGCCCAGAGCTTCCAGTTCGTCCCAGATTTGTGGATATCGCTTCTTGATCCATGCCTCGACACGTGTTTGCTTCTCGCTGTTGGCAGTGCAGTTGAACCAGCTACCTAGACTGTGGAATAATTAGCATTACTGATAATAAAGAAGAGACATGGGACGGCTGTTGAATGTAGACTTACATTTGCAAATCCAGCTTGAAGCCATACTCCTCTTCGACTGTTTCTATAAGCGCCAAGGCCTCGTCGTGGTTGTGATTTCGTGCAATGGCGCACATGTAGGCGGTCCAAATAGCCTTGTCAATGTCAATGTCCTGCTCTTTCAAGCGCGTCCAGATGGACC